GCCCACGTACCACAGCATCCAGAGCAGCTGCAGCAGCATGAGCGCCGTCAGCACGCAGAGCAGGTCGCTCTTGCCCACGCCCGACGCGTGCACGGCCCAGGCCAGCAGGAGCAGCAGCCCCGCCACGAACACGTTCAGCCCGTACTGGCTGCTCAGCGCCTCGGCCAGCTTCTGCGGGACGCTGGCGCGGACGGCGCCCCGCCGGGGGACGGGGGACCCCGGGGCCAGAATCTGGGGATGCGGGCTGGCTGCGGGCGCCGGCGAACTTCTGTCCGGGGAGCTCCGCGCCTCCCGGGGAGAGGCAGGCGCCCCCTGGTCCTCGGGCATCGTTGAGTGGCCCACAGGGAGTCTAGCCCCGGGCTGGCCCCCACCTGCTTGCTCCTGACTCGGCCCTTGCCCCCACGCCCTCTCCTAATTAGCTCCCTCTTCAGATGCCCCTCGGATGCCGGCTTTCCCCTCTCCGGTCCGTCTGCCCTCGGCCAAGGTACCCACCCAGTCCACGTACTACCGCCCCCACCCGGCTGACCCGGGCTGACCCCGGCTTATTTTGCGCTCCCGATAAGCACTGCCTGCTTCTCCTCACCTTGCGGTGCCCCAGGCAGCCTTCCCACGCCCTCCACGATCCACGCGGGCCGCGCCCAGCCCCTGAGGCTTCAGACCGCAGCCAGCCCTGCCCCGACGCCCGCGCGTCCTCCCGCTCGGTCCTTGGGTGCCAGGACCCGCCCGCTGTCCCCAGCTCCGTTCCCTTCCCCGACGCCCCTACGTCTTCTTCCTCCCGTCTCAGGGCGCCCGGCCCGGTGTCCCGGGAAGCCCTGGGTAGCGAGCGGTGCCTCCCGCCGGCTCCTGGGCTGGGGGCTGCGCGGGGGTCGCCTTGAGCCGCAGCAGGAGTGGGCGCGGGGGGCGTGCGCTCTCCGGGGCTGTACCCGCGCGTCTGGGTTGCGGACCGCGCGCGCGGAGGTCCAGGTGAGCCTAGGAGTGCCCCTTTGCTGTTTCTGCCTGTCAGTCTGTCTGTCCTGGTCCCTGCTTATGTCTGCGGTACGTTTTCTCTGTGCGTCTCTGTCTGGCCGGCTGTCTTCGAGGCTCGTCGCTTGTCCCTAGATCTATATGAATAGGGGAGGGCGTGTCTTTTTGTGTCTCTGTGTGTGCCTGCTGTACTTGTGTGTCTGCCGGGAGATGCCCAGATGCGAACAAGACAAGAGCCACTTCCCAAGAACAGAGATACTCTCCCTCCCTCCTACAAGGGCATGAGGAGCTGCTTCTGGACCTGAGGGGTGGGGTGCCCGGGGTTCTCCCTTCGAGCCCCTCCCTCAGCCCCCCCAGCCTGCTGGAAGCCGTCCTCTTGAGTGCCCGCTGAGATGCCGCTAAGGGGAGGGCGTGGCAGGTTTCTGCCAGTGTCCTAAGGGCCGGCGCAGCTGAGCGCGCGCCTGCGCTGGGAGGCGCTGGGGAAGGAGCCAGCTGCCTTGTGGGCAGACACCTGGGCGGTAAGGCCAAGCTCTGCGTGCAGGAGACACCCTCTCCCTTGGGCTTAGCACTTTGCTTTTGCTATCCCGAAATTCTTGGTTTCTGAACAGGGGACCCGTGCTTTGATTTTGCAGTGGGTGCAGCAAATCACATAGTCTGTGCTGACTGCCAGAGGTTCCCGGCTGCCGGGCAGCCCGGGCCAGGAGGCAGTGCACCAGGGGACCTGGCCTGGCCTGCACTTTTCACTTCATCCGTGCCCGCATGGGGCCAGCGTTTCTTCACCTCCCAGTCGTCTCTGCCAGGCTCTGTCTGTTCCGGGCCCTGGGCAGTCAGTGAAGCGCTGACACTCCGGTGGAGGCACACTCAGCAGGCCGGTGCTCCCTGGGAAGCGGGAGAGCATCCGTGTGAGGCTGTGTCTGCCCCACCTTGGGAGCCCAGTCTGCCAGGGCGGGTGAGGACTTCCCGGAGGAGGGGGCACCTGCACTTGCTGTCTTTGTAGCGTGGAGGAGGAGCTGGCCAGGTGACATGGGGCAGGGAGGGGCCGGAGGGTGCGAGGTTGTTCCAGAGAGAGGATGCAGCATGTGCACAGAAATGGGGGTGACGGGGAAGTGGTGGCCAGGGACCGTGTGCATCGTCTTGATGTCCCCTGGGACACACAGGTGGACGCTCAGTAAATACACCCGAGGGTCGCCAGGTGCACAAATGGACGGATGCCGTGTGAAGGAGCGAGGAGACCTCGCCTCCTCCGGAGACCAGTGAGGGTGCGGGACCCCGTGGCCCGTCCTGTGCCCCGTGCTCTGGCCCCTCACCTTGTTTGCATTCCTTGCAGCACAGGTCCTCACCTGCTGCACCGTGCACACACCTGTGGCCTGCCTCTCCCACTGCCAGGAGGAGGATGTGGCCGGTTCTGCCCACGGCTGTATTGTCCAGGGCACGGAACAGGGGTGGCCAGCACGTAGTAGGTATTCAATAAATGTGAACAGTCGTGCCCCGCCCCCCCCAAAGATGTTGAAGTCCTCGCCCCCAGCACTGGTGCGTGTGACATCATTTGGAAACAAAGTCTTTGCGAGTGATCGGGTGGAGGCCGTGTGGGTGGGCCCGCACCCAACAGGACTGTGTCCTTTAAAGGGGACATTTGAAGACAGACACGGTTGGCATGAAGGTGATGTGAAGACACAGGGAGATGCCATCTGTGACCCGAGGGGCACCTGAGACTGCCAGGAGCAGGAGCCGGGCCTGAAACAGAGCCTCCCTCACAGCCCTCAGAAGGGACCAGCCCGGCTGACAGCGTGGCCCTGGACTTCTGGTCTTGACAGTTGTGAGACCACACGTTTCTGAGGCTTGAGGCGGCCCCCTGCAGGCTGGTCCACCCCCTCATCCCTCTATCACCTGCATCCTAATCAAGTTTTAACTGTTTTTTTCAATTCTGAGCTCCCTAAAGGCAAGAATTATGTCTGAGTCATTGTTCTCTCTAGCGCCCAGCATTGTTTCCAATCCACTGAGAACTGTGTGCCGAGCACTGCCCACGTGCCAGGTATGGGGTCAGACCTGGGGACAGGGTGCGGCAGAGAGTCTGTGCCCAGTGCCACGGGAACCTGGGAGGGAGAGGGAGAGGGAGAGGGAGAGCTCCGTGCCTGCAGACGGCAGGGGCTCCCTGAACGCCCAGACTGCCGGAACAACGCCCTCCACGTTCAGTCCGCTTGGCAGTTTTACCACCCATGTTCACGTGCGCTGCCTCTGTTTCACAAACCAGCTCCAGCCCACGTGGATTTTGGGGGAAAGGCAGTACCAAGTGGTGGTTCAGCGGGTGGGTTCTGAAGCCGGCTGGGAGCTTTGATTCCCGCCTCCGTCCCTTACCGCTGTGTGGCGCGGGACAAGTCACTGAGCCCCACGGGGCCACCATGTCAGCAGCTGTAAAACGGAGCTCTTAATAGTAACTGTTTTAACCCGTGTCTACGAGGATACAGCGAGCTCATACACACGATACATGTGATGCACTTTGGGAAGCGCCTGCCAAACACACCGTACCTGAGACACTTCGTTGTTTACTGAGCACCTGCTCCGTGTCAGGCACTGAACTGAACTTACGCACCGGTCACTCAGGGCCTGAGCAACTCCGGTGCCAGCCGGGTTGAAAACCTGGTCTTGACACTTGGGATGGTCAAAGTCGGGGGTGGCTCTGAGAGTCACACCTCCCACTGTCTCTGTGACCTCCACGGGAAGGGTTTGCAACTGACTGACCACTGACCCTCGCTTTATTCATTCATTCTTCTTAGGAGTGGGAGCTTGTGTGGAAGCAAGAGCATTACTGCTTGACACTGTTTTTATTTACTGAAAAGTTATACTACTAGGAAAAGGCCCGTAAGTAACCTGTATATTGGTTATTTAACAGAAATGAGGTCCAGGCACGATCCTGTTTAAACGGATGTATCAAAAGGTCTCTTTTTAAGGAAGAGGGTCACCTGACCGTCCTAGGTGACCGCAGTATCGGCATTTGGCTAACTGGATCTTAACAAGCTGTATTAGTCAGGAAATCCTGGTCCTGGGTTTCTATCCGAGCAGTGAAAGTGCCCTTTGAGAAAAGACAGAGCGGTAGACAGACAGATATACAGGTGGACAGGTGGACGGATGGACACATAGTCTATTCCTCTGCAGGATCTGTCCACGGATAACTGTCCCTTCGCATCACCTACCCAGACAGGCAGACAGGTATAGAATTTGTGGGCATCATCACTGGGCATTGACCTTGGGCCCCACCCATTCCCTGCTGTTGGGTCTGAACCAGCGCTTTGTAACCCTGCCTGCCAGGGTCCGCAGCCTCGGCCTTGCACTGCCCCCCCGGCATCCCTGGCTGACTCCTGCCTGCCCCTGCCCTTGCCTTTAAATGCAACTCTCCCCACACGCTCACGCGCAGGCGCACACGAGCTGGGCTGGGTCCTGCGTGCCGACCGGGCCTGCCTGCTCCCGGCCCCGGGTCTGCTCTGTCTCTTTCCCTCTCCACTGCCTTCACTGAGTGGGCACCTACTGTGTGCCAGGCCCCGCAGCAGGCGTCTCATCAGCATTACAGCTGGAGGCGCAGGGTGTGACCCGAGCCAGGCAGGGGCAGGGACTGAATCAGATCATGTCTGGGAGCCCCTTTACTACAAGGCCCGTGGGCCGCACACGGCTCAGGATGGCTGTGCTTGTGACTGTGACCCAACACAAAATCGATTGTTTTTGTGATTATGTGTCGCAATGCATCTAACGTGTGGCCCACGACAACCCTTCTCCTTCCAGTGTGGCGCAGAGACGCCGGAAGGCCGGACCCCCGCTTCACGGGGAGAAGAACCGACACCGGTACTCCCTGTGCCACCACGCTCCCGGCGTGTGGGTTCCGGGTGAACACATTTGTGTGTGGAAGCACGAGCACTGCCCTCACGCGGTCTCTGAAGAGCAGGGCGGCCTGCTGTGAAAAGAGGCCGTGTTTGCACGGCTAATTCGAAGCGCCGGTAGCTGAACACAGAAACCACGCCGGAGTCTGTACTCACCAAACCCAGAAGAAAGTTACAAAAATATTTTATTTAAATGCTCAGGAACAATCATACATACCTAAAAATCATTCAAAGCTCATGTGTTAGACATGCTAAGACCCATCATTTACACGATGATGAAACCTAAAGAGTTATCATCGGGAATGCACAAGGGAATGCGTAGGACACGCCCCGCTGGCCCTCCCACGCCCGAGGAAGCGCCAGAAAGGCGGGGCCTGGGGTGGGCGCTGAGGCCGGGCTGAAGGCGCAGGCGCAGGCGCGGGCGCGCACCCAGCCGTCCTCCACAACCGACGGCCGCCCCTTCCCCGCGGAGTGAGGAGCCGTCTGGGGTGTCGGGAGTGCATGATGCATCTATCATGAAACTTCACCTAAATTTCTACACCAGTACTCTCTCCAAGGATTCAAACAGATTAGCACTGCAAATCGGTCATTCCTGTGTTGAAGAGAATATTCCTCTGTTGAATCTGAAAAATTCAATCATCACTTGGGTTTGAGAATGCTTAAAAGAGATAGTTTACTTTGATTTCAACCACGGTTCGATGAAGTGGCCATTTTTCCCAGAAAGCCACTCACTTCAAGGTGCAAAAAGACACTGTAGCTTTTCCACGTTTGGGATGCTTTCAGCTAGCTGGATGCTCATCATCCACTTCACATTCTCCTGCCTTTGAACCTGAAAGAAAGCCAGCATTTAGGCCCCACGTGAGATAATGCATATTGCGTTGTTGGATACAATGTTAAAAGGCCTGCGACACCACCTGTCTCCCCGCCACCAGCCACAAATCCACGTCAGCACTAGGTCAAAAGCCCCCCGCACGTGCAAAAACTCGGCCCTGAACGAGGGCGCACCCCGGGAGACAGGGAGAAGCAGGAGCCGTGGTCAGCCAAGGGCACGTGCTTGTGGGGACACCCGCAGACGGGGTAAAGGGCGCACTGAGAGCCCGGTGGCCCCTCCGCAGGCCCGTGTGCGGAGGGGACGCAGTGCAGCAGCACGGGTCACGGGCGCGCCAGCAGCCTTTTCCTCCTCTGTGTTCGCAGGAGCTGCCCCGTAGGGCTCCAAGCGGAGGGTGTGCAGTGTGTTAGCTGGAATGCCGGTTTGCCTTCCCGCCCCAGTGACTTTCTCAGCGTATTAACTCTTACTTCGCTGGATGCAGTCCCCCCACCCCCATAAACGAGTGTGTGAGCTGGACTTCCTCCACATGCTGCTGATAGCGCCGTGAAGGCGGAGACCACCCCTGTCTTTCCCACCACGTCCCCAGGCACAGAGAGTGAGCACGTTCGACCCACACGGCGTGAACAAATGAGTTACACGACACTCAGCAAACAGGCCCCCGAGAGAGCGGCAGGCCAGGAGGGGGCGGGGCCTGTGGGGAGGCGGGAGTTCCACCACTGACTCAGGGAAAAGGCTCACACCGTGTCCACCAGATTTTGATGATGCAGCCAGAAGAGTTAGAACATGACAGAATTTCTTCCCCGAAATGGGTAAAATTCCTTCTTTTCCCCAAGTTCCCAATCCTTAAAAACTATCTAGCCAATACTCACTCGTATGTGAGCTGGCTGCAGCAAAAAAGAAAAAGGACTACTCTGCGAACTCATTTACACTGGGCACTGCACGCGCGAGGCCTTCGCAGGGCGGCGCGCCACCTCCGCCAGGCAGTCCGCACTCGAGCACCGGAAGGAGGGAGGGTGGGCGGGGTCTCGGTCCCTGCGACCTGCATTCAGGGGGCGAACAGCTCCGGTGCGAACACGGGGGAGGGAGGTCACAGGCGGTCTGCGACGGCTGCGCCCCCTGGAACTGTCTGAAGGCCTTGCCCGAAGGGGGTCAGAATTAGCACCACCATCCCAGAGACCTTACCTTTCGCAATCACCCGAGGAGTGAGATCAACATGACAACTCCCATAAACTGGGTAAACAGCAGCGGCGGAGTGAAAAATGACCACACCGGCCATAAAGCGATGTTGAAGCTGAAAGAAAAAGTCAAGAAACACACGGCTGACAAATCCTGCTGTAATCTACACACGTGGGAGGGGGCAACCAAAACCGCCCTCAGAACTATCTTCTGGAGGGCGGGCCCCTTGTGGGGCGGGCTTCCTCCACTGGATGAGTGTTCTAGGAACCCAGCCATATCCATGTGCCAGCTGGCGTCGTTGTGAGAGGCTGTGTTCAGCTCCAGTGAATTTTTCTGAAGACTCTTTCCATGCGTTTGCCCATTTCATGGCGGGTGGCTCACGCACCCGCCCACACCGCCCTGAGTGCTCAGCAGTTTCTGACCAGACTCGGCGTGACCTCCATGCCCCACCCCCCTATTCATCTGGTCTCACCTGAACGATTTTCTTTGTTTCCCCAGGTGAGAAAGTCCTCAAAGGGAACTGTTTTGCCAGTGTGGAAGAAGTAAAACTAAAAAATGATAGAAGCTCTAAAAGGCATCAAAACTGACAAGTTCAGAAACTGTTCTGAGCAGTGGAAAAACGTCTCGATGGGTGCGTTGCATCAAATGAAGAGCACTTTGAAGGTGACTGACATTTAAGCATGTAAGAATAAGTACACACTTTTTTATAAATAAATTCCAGGGTTTTTTTTTTTTGGGCGGTGGAAGGTCATCCCTTTTTGTATATTTTACTACAGAATCCAGATTTAAAGAACTCACTTTTTTACTCAGTTTGGGACAGTTCATTCGGCCAACAATATTATATGTATATTTTCTCAAGAGATGTGATTTCTCAGCCCTGGCTGGCATAGCTCAGTGGATTGAGCGCGGGCTGTGAACCAAAGTGTCGCAGGTTCGATTCCTAGTCAGGGTACATGCCTGGGTTGCAGGCTATAACCCCCAGCAACCGCACATTGATGTTTTCCCCTCTCTCTCTATCTCCTTCCCTTCCCTCTCTAAAAATAAATAAATAAAATCTTAAAAAAAAAAAGAAAAGGAAAAAAAAAGAGAGAGATGTGATTTCTCAAACATTGGAAATATCACAATCTCTCCCAAAAGGACTTGGAACTGGGATCACTAACGGTCCTCTAGTGAGAGCTGGCTTCGTAGGAACTGGAGTCTCTGAAAGCTGGTATCTCCAGTGGGACACGGACTGAAATGGCCACAGCCTGGCTTCGTGCACGGTCAAACGGTCGTGGTAACAAGATGGTAAAGGCATTTCCCTGGCAGCACCAGGAGGGAAAAAGTGACCATCTGTGACTTTCTATCGCATTTCCCACGGAGGGAAGCACCACCCCGTCACCAGGGGAAGAACAAACACCTTCCGGGCGTGCCGGGGTTTGGGGGGCCGAACTTAGAAGAGCAGAAGTTAACGAGGGACAACGATCGTCAATTCAATGCTTCGGGTAGTTATGGATTTTAATATGTAATGCTTTAGTAAGCAGAACCTTCAAATAGCTATAATTATCCTCTTCTGAAGAATAAAATGACATTTCTGAGGGTGACAGGGGCCTTACAAGAAAATGCAAATTAACACACCTGTTTACCCACATGACTGGAGGGTTAATGACAGCCACGTCCCAATGTACCATGTCAACCACCCTTCAACTTCAACTACAGAAAGTGAGTCATCAAAAAACAGATTTAAACTGAGTATGCAGAAAAGTACATGCTTTTTCCAAAATCAAGAACCTGAAGGCGACACTGAGTGAGAACTCCCTGTGCATGGAGAGTGGTTTTTCTCCCGGACTGGTGGCATTGTGGGATTTATTTCCTTTGTACTTTCTGTAATTAACAAATTTTTCTTCAGTGAGCAAGTACACTTTTATAGACATTTCACTGAGTGCCTATGAACTAACAAAAAAGGATACTGATTTTGGTATTTTTACATTGTAGGAATAAAAGAATAACATCAACTGTAAGCCCGACAACAGGAAGCTGGCTGTACAAGTGATGTCCACGCAGCACTGACTACACAACTACCAAAAAGTGAGGTGCACCTGCGTGCACCAGTATGGGAGAATGTGTGCATGTACACACACACACACACACACACTAAACAGAAATGTGCACCTATGCATAAGAGACATATACTAGCATGTTCTCAATAGCATCCTTAGTACCACCACCAAACTGGAAGCAATCTAAACACTATCAACAGTAGAAAAAATGCACTGGGAGTCGGCTACCAGCTGGACTGCTAAACAGTAACGAGTAACTGTTATGCGTAACAACATGGATAAATCACACATAATGCAACACAGAAAGAGCAAACATAAAAGAGTATGTAAGGCCTGGCTGATGTGGCTCAGTGGATTGGCGCGACGGCCTGTGAACCAAAGGGTCACCAGTTCCATTCCCAGTCAGGGCACGGGCCAGGTCCCTGGTTGGGGGCGTGCAGGAGGCAACCACACCTTGATGTCTTCCTCCTTCTATGTCTCCCTCCCTTCTCCTCTCTCTAAAAATAAATAAAGTCTTAAAAAAAAGAATACGTAAAAATACATTTCTATATAGCTCACAAACACAAATCAAACAAAAGTAGAGTATGCAAGAGATGTAAAAGGAAGCAATCGGCACCGAGGCCCGGGTGGTGTTTCCCTGTGGCCAGACGGGCGGGGCAGCGGTTGCAGAGGGAGAAAGGGGCTGTGGGGGGCGGGGCCTGAGTGTCCTTCTAGCCCCAGGGGGAGGGGGGGTTACCTCAATGCCCCTTTCATGATTCACTCAGCTGCGAGATTTCGTTTTTCCTACTTTCTGTGAGCATTATGCTTCACAGTGAGAATGATTTAAAAAGCAAGTTGCAGAATATATGAGTATACAGCATTGTCACCATTTGTTGGGGGGGGGTTTGGCTCTTTTTTTTTAAATTGTTGTTCAAGTTCACTATTTGTGTTTTAAATAACTGAATACATGAAGAAAGGTATTACTGAAAAGGGAACCAGAGACTAGAAATGACAGGGGAACTATTTTCCCGTTATCCCTTTTCTTGCTCTGAAATTTGCACCACGTACGTCAGTGCCCGAGCAACAGAATGTCTGCTCCCGCCCGCTGTGTCCCAGTGAACTCACCAAATCCCCGCTGCGATAAAGGCCGCAGTCGTGAGGGGTATCAGGGCCGGGTACCGGGCATCGTAATCCCCAACCCCGCGGTACCACTCCAGGTAGAGGATGCAGAAGAGCGCAATGGACAGGCTGAGAAGCAGCAGGGCGCTGCCAGCGAGGAACCAGCTGTGGAGACAAAGACGATGTCAGGGTTGGCGGCGCCTGGCAGATCAGCAGACACCATACAGGTTTTCCCTGACCGCCTAAAACTCCATTTCTGCGAGCGCAACAACTAAAAAAAGGAACACAGGGACCCACAGCTTCGCGACCCCCGACCTCGGAAAGTCTCCACCTCCTGGGAGGCGAGGGGAGAAGGGATGAGCCTGGGACCCACGGCAGGACAGAAAAGTGCGACTTGAAATACAGGTGTGCATATGTACTTTCATACACTAAGCAGGCAAAACAGACCCCTGGTTACGGAGACACGTTTTCTTTAAAAATACAGAGAAGAGAACAGCTTTCTGTTTGTTTCTGAACTTTTGAGTGTGACAGTAATAACAGGCACCACTCACTCCTCCAGGTAGGGTTTCTTAGGATGCTGAAAATCAGTTTGGAAGATGGTTAGTTCATGGTGCCTCTCATAAAAGATTTCTAAGTGAAGCCCTCACATTTTTAGAAGATGTCCAATGATCCTCCAAGAAGCAATGCCTTCCTTCTCGCCTCTAATTATACCCAAGACCTGACTCAGTTCTGTGTGTGTGACCCCACTGACCTCTTCCTTCCAGCCCCTGCTGGTCATGGGAGGAGGCCGGGTTTGGGGAACAGAGTCCCTTTCCCAGCCAGTCCCCCAACTCCACCCAATACCCCCATTTATCGTTTGCTTCTCCATGGGGAGAAGACTGACATTCCATGCAGTAGACAGAGGGGACACAGGGGGCTGGAACTGTCATCAAGTTCACAGGTACTGAGCGGACTTCCAACAATGGCAAGGTTCCAGATTGCTTTTATGATGATGCAACTCTGGACTTGAGAACTGTGGGAGGCAGGATGCAGTGGTTAGGAACACAGTCTTGAACACCCGAGTCTGAATTCAGCTCTGGCATGACCAGCTTTCTGACTCCCGCCAATCAGGGCACTGCGGCGTGCTTCAGACGTACTGACGGTGCTTACGCACGAACAGCTGCGACAAGGAAATCGTGCCCAGGACAGCGCTTCAAGCCCCAGCAGGGGTCCCTGTTATGCCACTGACGTTCTTTCTCTCCAGGTCAAATATTTCCATGCTCCTTTTGAGGGGCCTTCAGAGACCTCTCCACACCACAGTTCTCAGTCCCTCCTTCTAGAGCTCCTGCGCTTTATCTTTGCAAAGACCTCTAGTCTCTACTTTCTCCTCCCGTGATTTTCTTCTCTCATTTACCACCTTTCTCATCCGACAACACACCTGTGCTGAAAGGCACAAGGAAGTAACTTCCGTCTCACCCACTCTGCTACACACGCCCCGGGCATGCGCTGACTCACCTAGCTATCATGAGCACCTCCCAGTGCCGGGCCTAGCAGACACCAGGTACCTGCTAAGCATTTGAAGACTTCAACGGACAAAATAAAACATGAAAAATAAGACAAGGGTGTTTAACGTATGAACCAGCAAAATTTTCTTACCTACTGGTGTGAAAGTTTTCTTTAATAGTTTTAAAGAAATCAGCATAATAGGTCACAACAATGGAGGCCAATATCCAAAATCCAGAATGGATATTAAGTCTTGGAAGAGGTTTCTGCTTTTTCTCAACAGCTGCAGAGGCTCCTGCAAATAAGGGAGATTTCTACTTATCAAATTACCATGAGTTCCTGGGGACAAATTAACCTGTTTTAAGCCAAGTAAGAAAATTTTCTAGGGCTTTCTAAAAACCAGATTCTCTCCCAGCATAGCACGATTTTTTTCTGCAAAACCACCAACATCAGCTTATGTTTGCAGAAATAATTACTAGGAGTCCACTATAAAACATGTTCTATGTAGTCAACTTTTTTCCTCTCTGTGAATTTTGAAATCAAATTTACATATTCAGTCTTTCAAAAAGAATGATGACATCTGGTAGTGTAAGAATTTTAACATTATGTTTCATGTTTCATTTAGGAAAGTAATCAGCCCTATTAAGGCAGATGCAAAAGGCAAATGTTAGAGCACAAAAGGGACCTGTGATTTTCCAAAAATACTACTCATAACTATTTATTTTAAACAAACACAGCCAGTTAAGGCAGCTCAAAAGTGGAAGGGGCATGCTGGATCTAGTCCTGGGACCCAATATGAAAGAACCTGCAGCCGGGGCGGGGTCAAGCTCCCAGGTGATTGACATGCCCCTGGTATACATCGGAGGCTCTCAACCTTTAGGATTCCTAAGAAGCTTGTTCCTAGTACAAATTCTGGGAGATAATACCCTCAAATTTTATGACCCAGAATGCCTGGACATGTTTTCTGTTTTAGAAGGTATTAAATGCAAATGGTTTACAACACACAGGGCAAAAAGGTCTAAAATGAAATCCACCTCTCCCAGTTCCCCTGCCCAGAAGCAATGGCCAGTATCCCCTTCTGGGTTCTTCTACGCTCTCCGCCTCTACAGGAAAACACACAGCGCACAGCATCCCAGACCCGTCTGTACCCAAAGGGTGGCAATACCACCCCTGTTCTGAGCCGCCCTTTGTTTGGTCGATTTTTAGAAATAGAACCGGTGAGTATTTTTAATGGTGTTCGATCGTCATTCCTGGGGATCCTAAAGCGCTGCCTGGGATGAAGATGCGCGGGGCTACGTGATCTCTAAGGATCTTTTATGACACTAAATAGCCTCCTTGCCAACTACAGGTAAGCCTTGACAAACGAAACCCGCCCCTCCTGACCCGGCAGGGCTGCGGGAGACCCGCAAAGCCGGCTGTTTGCGGGCGCCTCGGCCCCGGGAACCTCGGCGCGCTTCGGGGCGCGCCCGCAAGAGCGCCTCACCCTGCCTGGCGTAGCCTTCGCCGTCCAGCGACGCCTCGGCGTCGAGCGCAAACAGGTATCGTCTCCGTAGCTGCTCCCGGGCCCGGAGAGCGTCCATCTTGGCGTCCTAGGAAACGCGACGGAAGTGACGTCAACCCCCCGGAACCGCGGGTATCGACTTCCGGATGGATGGTTTCTTTCTGTGAGCGCTGGAGACGGTATTGCTTCTAAGGTTTTAGTTGGTGAGAATCTAGGGCAGAGTTGGCTTCGCAATCAGCGCCCTCAGATCCGCTAAATGATTTGAGTTTCAGATTGATGATGCTCTCACGGCCGAAAATATCCCATTTTTCCGGGGGACCGACATTACGGATGCCGCCTGCCTCGCTGTGCTCTCTGCCTCCGCAGGTGCCCAAAGCTGAGCAGTACCCTCGTGCGGGCCTCGACTCCCAGCCCCCAGCTTCTTTCTCACTTCTCCCCAGCGGGACCTCGGAGGAGGAAAGGACCGTGGGCGCCAGCTGTTGAGCCTCAGGCCTGGCATTGACCACTCGGGTGGACTTGGGCAAGAAATAAACCTCTCCGGGCCTTTCCTCTTCTGCACCCCGGGGATTATACCTGCCTCCTGCATTTGTTGTGGGGTTTAAGTGCGAAGCATCTGTGTATTGTTCATGTCAACACCCTTTTTCCAACTTCTGAGCAAATTCACCGACTGGGAATGTGGGACCTAAATTTATACTTTCCCAGAAAACTGCCATCTCCCCTCACTCATGCTCATAAATCGAAAAGCACTGTCACTAATTCACAAGGTTTTCTGTATCAAGAATCCTATCACACTCCTACCGTGTCCTGTGTTGAGTGTGCTTAACCATTCAGACGTTTACTGAGCACCTACTGTTTGCTTGGAACTGTTAGGCATCGTGCTAGACAACGGAAAGAAAGATGAATAAGACGTGATGTTACACTTGAGGAGCTCCTGGACCAAAGATGAGCTCAGAGCTGTGCTACAATATGTTGCAGTATTTACGAATGTATGGAAGCATTTTCTTAAGTCAACAGACATTCCCTGAACAGCTGCATCTGCTAAAAATGCCAAGGAAAGAGTGAAGTTAGAGTCTTGTGGAGGAGACGATTTCAATACAGTGTATGGAAACATTGTATATAGGGTTATTCCAGCACAGAATAAAGGCTAGTGCATTCTGGGGGGAGGTGTGGGGAGCAGGGGCAATGGCTTCAAGTGTGTCAGATACAGGAGTGGACAACCCAGAAAGCCACCCAGGAAGTAAAATTTAACTTGCTCAGTTGGCGCTCTTTAGATCTTCTATGTCATGGGTATTTGCAGAAGAAATGTAGTAAGAATGTCAAGTGTCTAGTGGTTGGTTTCTGTCATTTCTTCAGCCTTTCTAGCCAACCCATTGGAGCAAAGGATTTAACAGCAGGTTGGATCATATGGCCTTTCTACACAATACCTCCTCTTTCTTGTTCTGTTTTTTTTTTTTCTTTTCAGACTCCTTAAGTACCATGGTTCATCTCTTTAAAGCCATCTGGGGTCTGTGCCCTCCTTTCTTCTCTCTTGTATAGGGTCAGAAGGCTTGTTAACAGGAAGTGAATTCCTCCTATCAAATACAGTCTTCTGTTGATTGTCTCAACAGAAAACAATCAACAGAAGGCTGTATTTTTGCAAGGAGGTCCTTGCAAAAAGGTCAGTGCCGGGCCTCCCCTGTAACTGAATATTCCCAGAGCACTGCGGCAATCCCAGGGTCTCCACATGTAGTATGTTCCAGTCAGATCCGGTTTCCCCTTTGGTAGTTTCAGGGCCTTTGTATTTGGCTCTGGAAACCATCCAGCATTTTTTTTCCCTTGAGATTTTAAAGGGCACTACTTGAATACCATACTGATGATACTTAAAAGCAGGCTGGGAAAAATCCAGTGTCTAATGACTACGTCTTCAAGTTCTTAAATGTGTGCTCTGTGGGCCTTCATGACAGATACATGATATTTGCGTGCTAGCCACCAAGACATTCTCATCTGCAGCGTGGATTACTTGGCAGAGGAGGCGGGGGTGGGGGGGGGTGAACTAGACTGTGACCTTGGCTGGCCTCCCCTTAGCAGCATGCTTAAGTCTAAGGCATTTTTGGACTATTCAATGGGGCTCCATCACTGTGGGGTCTTGGGCAAGTTGCTTCATTGTTCTAAAAGTTTCCGTTTCTTCATCTATGACACAGCAGGTACCAGAGTGAAGATAAATGTATCCCAGTTGCTTAGCATAGTGCCTGGCACCCAGTATGTGTTCAATCGTAACTACACAGTATGTAGTTACTATTCATTACTACTCAACAGGGCTCGCCAGGACTTCCGGCTCCTGCTCGCCTCTCAGTCAGGCATTCCCCTCCCCTCGGGCTCCAGTTACTCTCTGCTGCAGTTTTCCTTTGCCGCTTCTCTCCTTAGTCGACGGGGGCCACCACCATGTCTCGGCATCTCCCCGGCGCCTTGCAAACACCTGGCACGTAACAGGAGCTCCACTGCTTGGTTCGCACTGTGGCCCTGAATCCCACAGGGATCCCACAAGGCCTTAACTGGCCTTCAGTGTGGCCACACGTGTGTCTGCCCAGCATCCCTTCCTCTGAGAAACCGCTTCTCCTGCTTTCTGCAGTAGCCCCGCAGAGTTCTCAGGAGGCTAGGGGAGGGCTCCGGGCCCCACCCAGATCTGTCAGCCCCCAGGACTGGTGAGCTGTTGGTGGGGCTGCCACCATGGAGTCAGGGAGGGAGCCCACTAGGAAGGAAGCTTTGGGATGCGAGCCAAGCCAAGAGGTCTCAGTAGCGTCATCTCAACTCCTGAGTCCAGCCAAGCTCTAGTCACTTAGGTGAGGAGGTAAGCGTGGGAGCCGGCTGCCTGGTGGCTGTCCTAGTGGCTCTGTCATTACTGGCCTTTTCAGCCTTGGGAAGGCCACTTACCTCTCCTTTGCCTTAGTTTCCTCGCTTGCAAAACTGGGTTAAGAATAGCACCTACCCCATAGGACTGTATCAAAATATATTAACATATGTAAAGTGCTGATAACAAGCATGGCCCAGAGGAAGCTCTCAATTCACCTCACCTGTGGTTACTCCATTGTTGAGTCTACACAGATTTCTCAGCCAAAAACAAAACCAAAAACAAAAAAGTTGTTTAAAAAAACATCAGTGCCAACTTGACTTGTTTTCTGTTCCTTGCAACCCTGGGGCCAGACCAAGGCAGCCCTGTCTGTCACTGTGCCCCGTGGCTGCCCCATTGGTCCCCGGCTGGACTGTGGGTCCCTCCAGAATTATAGAATGGGAATTATCTCTTCTGTCCTTGTGACATAGTACAGTCTCGAGGACAAGAGGGCACAATGGAGGAATTGCACGCGTTGAGGGTACTGGAGGATTCAGGTCCAAACACATGTTTGTGAAGAACAAAAATCGATGCACGCACGACAGCGGACGTCCCAACAGAATCTCTTTAGATGTGACATCTCCCCACCCGCCTCTGAGCAGTGACTCCCCTCCTGCACCGGAAGGGGAGAGCCTCCTCATGTGCACCTGCTGCCTAAAGCCAGCCTACGGGCTCGAGGACAAAGGTTAGCCACAGCGCCGACCTCTCGCCGGAGCATGACTTAGGGATCAATACGAAGTGACACTTACACTGAGAAACCCGATATGCGCTCCTCGGTTCACGAGGTGAGAAAGGCACTGGGAAGGCCTGTGCTCTCCACCCCGTGGACGGAACGAGGGGTAAAGGCTGACATATGCTGAGACGCAGTGAGCACGCCGTCCTGGTGAGTATGTAGAATATGTTGTCTCTCTCATCCTCGAGGGGTGCGCCGATCGATCTCCAACCTCTCCCCACGAGGGGTGGGGTGCTCTGGGGTCGGCGGCCTGCCCCCAGGTGAAGGGTGCGGCAGGGACCTGTCTGCGGTGCACTGGGGTCTCAGCACCGAGACGCAGCAGCGTGAAGCCAGGAGGTCTGCTCTCCACAGCGGGACGGACTCAAAAGGGCTTTGACTGACAGAGGCCAAGTGGAGAGAGCCGCTGGTCTCTTACAGGAACTTTCTTCACTCAACTGGGAACGTGTTACCTGGAACACAACAGTCTATCAAGACGGCTTCTTCCTCCCCCTGCCACCCGCCCCCCCAATTCCTATAAATCTATTTTGGAAAAGAGGTAAAATTACAGGCCAGTGAGATCATCTCAGTAAATTGTTTTAATAGGACCTGGTCCATTCAAGGTTTCACTTCCACAGAGAAATGACACATTTAGAAGGACGAGAGCTTTTGAAAGATACTAATAAAAATCTACGAAACGCCATTCATCTTGACTTTATTAGCTTTTACTCACAACCGCACCATGAGGTGGTCTGGAAACAGAACGAGGAACGGGGGCCTTCAAAGGCCCTCCCTCCGCAGAGAGGTCCTCTCGCTTCACCTCGGGGGCAAGCCACTGGTGGCGCCCGAGGCGGAGGAGACCTGGGAGATGAGGGACCTCACAGTGTTTAATCTTTCTCCGTACGGACGCCCCTCTGCCCTCAGGAGCTGCATTCTCGGACTTTTGCCATCAGCCCGTGTCTGGCCGTCACAGCTGGTCAGAGGGAAGGTGGCCCAGGGCTCACTCCTGCGTGGCCCCCCTGCCCCGTTCTGAGCCTCGGTTGCCACACCGGACTGCAAAACGCTGGGCACGCCTGACATGAAGGAGGGTCCCAGCCTCTGACCGTCACACGTCTTCGTTGCTTGGAAGGCGACATGCAGCCCATCGTCCCCCAGTCCTGCCTGTGAGCGGCATCACGGACAATGGCCAGGGCACAGTGACCAATGCCAGGGACGCCAGAAAGGGTGGCACTTGAGAAAACCAGGGTGGGTGTCAGAGGGGTCCCTGGCAGATCTGGGGACACCCAAGCGCCAGGCCCACTAGACTTGCGCGGGGAGAGGCAGAACATGGAAGGGTTCAACCTCACGTTCACCTTGGACGGAGATGGAGCGGTCAAGCCTGCCCTGAGTACCGCCGGACCAGTTTCCAAACCCCCGGAGCTCCAACGCTGTGCGTTCGAGTCCACGCCGGGCGGGCAGCTGCCAGAGCCCAAGGGCAGTCCCTGTGCCGGACCGGGGTGGCTGCAGGTCCTGCTCTGTGGCCAGAGCCCCTGGGCTCCTCCCACCTCCTGCCTCCAGCTGCTGCTTCCAGCAGAGACCTCCCAAGACTGCCCATCAGAAATGCCCCCTGGCCTTGCTTCCTCATCCTCATCCTCAGAGGGAACCGAGAGGCTACCGCCTCCAGCCCCAACGCACAGATGCTGCGCTAACTTTCCTGCCCAGCCAACCCCTTGTCTGCCCTGTGCTGCCGGCACGTTCGAAGCCTTGAGGACCTTGGGTGGTGGCTGGCAGAGGTGACAGAAGTGAGGACCCTATCAGTGTATGTCTTCACTTTGCCAGATTTTGCCTTATAGCATCACAGTAAAACTGACCAAAAAATCTGATCAACACAAATCTCACAAAGCTAAGGTGTTGTCAGTCAACGTGACTCTTAGGGGGCGGCCCGCACCCCACTGTGCACAGGGGCGGAAGCACGTCCTGGACTGGCCTCTGGAGTCGCAGAGGGCTCTGCCCTCGTCCCTGAACACACGCTCTGGGTCAGGACTCCCTCCACTGGTTTCCGCAGTGTCCACGGCTCTCCAACACGGTCACTGAAGACGGCAGCGGTAACCCCTGAACGCGTCTCCGCCAGGTTGTAGGGACGGTGCTGTGTACTCGACACACGCTAGTGCGTTTGCTCACCCCTTGGGGGGACCTCCATCCCCCGTCCAGGTGAAACGGGCGAGCTCCAGAGAGGTTAACCGTCCAGGGACCAGCCAGGGCCCGACAGCAGGCCCTGCTCGGAGGCCTCAGCCCTCACCCATCCTGGACACCACGCCCCTGGAGCCCGCCCGTCACTCCCCAGCGGCACGGCCCCAGTCGGGACTGACCACGGAGCTGCTGGGCTCCGCCGGCACGTGCAGGGCAGCAGCTGGCTCCTCGGGCCCACCCCGAGCAGAGGTGCCAAGAGCACCCACGTCCCATTCTTGCTCACCCCTGCAGGATGAGGTGCTGACTACAAGCCAGCACTGCATAAAAGGGCAATTCCACTTTCAAGGGACTTGTGGCCCAAACCTATTCAGATAGCGAAAGTGGCACGGCACAGCTCTCCGGCACGGCGGGCTAGGCCTTGGAGCGGCGTCTCCGAACGCACTTCAGTCCGGCCAGGGGACTGGGGCCACGGCGGGCTCAGCGACGGGCTCGGTCACAGGAGCTCTTTTCTGGGACCCGGTCCCGGGCCACACCTGGGTCTGGTTGCTGACACATCTGTCTTCGGCTGAGAGACTGGGGGCTCTGCAGAGTGGACACCCCCCTCCAAGAGCAGCGCCCTGGGCCAGGGGAGGGTCACCACGCACAACAGCTGTGCACACACGCCTGCAGGACCTCTGTGATTCGAACACACCACTCACCAACACAGACACACCCACAAATAACCTCTCGCAGAGAGGGTGTAGTCAAAACAAATACATTTTAGTCTGAGCAAAGGAGGGGGGATTTTTTGACTTGTGACATTTAAAAATACTTTGCACATACGAGTCTGTATAATTACTTTCACCATCACAGATTTAGTATTTTGGACAATATAGTTTATTCTCATAAAAGTTCTACCAAAAATATATATTCTTCTTAACTTAAAAGTCCAGGTAGGAAAGCAAAACGTAAGGTGTTATTATTCATTACATGTTTTACAAACAGCAGTGAAAAGAAGAAATCAACAGAATATACTCAATTTATAAATATAAAAATGTTCATTTCAGAAGCTTGACCTTGTCCTTCAGTAACTTGAAGGTGGGGTTCTTGCTGATTTTCTTATTGAGGATGACCAGGAGCTCCTCTTCAGACCGGTGCCGTTCATCTGCCACCGCGTGATACTGAGCCAAAACCTTCACGGGGGAGAACAGCTGTCAGACGAGGGTCCCCGTCCTGGGGCGCTCTCCCTCCAACCCAGAGGGGGCAGCAGCGAGAAGTAAGAGGCCCAGGGCTGGTCCCACGGTCCTGCCTGTGAAAACCCAGGCAGCCGCGCGTGTGCGAGCACCTGGCTACCAGTGGGCCACATGTCGATGAAGAGTTAAAAACAAGAAGCCGTTGCCCTGGAGAGATCAAAAGTCAGCAAACCATCTAGAACAATCTCCAAGGAACGCAGGCCCTACTTGGGCTGCAGAGGGGTCACAGGGCTCGGCCGGTCCCGGCCCCACCAGCCCAGACGGATCGCCAGAACAACGTGGAAACCACGGAGACGCACACACGAAAGTTTACAGTATTCTAGGTGGTTCTAAACGTTGTACATGCTAAAATAAAGAACTCATTCTCCCCAGCTTATGTACCTGGGTTTACAGGCCATACCTTTTTCCTTAACTTTTTGATTGCTATTTCGTTGTCTGGTGCCTGCTTCAGAATCGCTTTAATCGTCCCCTTCCAGTTGAATTTACCTGCAGTACAAAGAACAACATGTAAAACACTCTGTTTTGTCGTGCTACCGCTACCAGGAGGGCGAAGAAATGACCTCCGCACATCCATCTGCTCCCGGGATGGGAGCCAGTCCTGCGTGGGCACGTGGCCTGCAGGCCCGGCCACCCTTCGTAGCGAGCAGGTCGGAGTGTCACAAACACTGCCACTACAGACCCCCGTAAGCAGACACAGCTGCGCTGAAGGGCCTCAGCGAGGCTGAGCACCACCAAGACCAGGGAGCGACGCACAGCGCCGGAGAGGAGCAGCGGAGCGTCACTTAGATGCGAGAGGACGGCCCCAGTTATCACTGCCGGGGGCTAAGACTCACCCTACAGCTTCACGAGAATCTGCAATGACCTCAAAACCGTTTTGTAAAAGCCTCGTGTGTATATATAGGAAGTTGGAGGCTGGGTTCCGAGCTCAGAGATCTCACCCGACGGGAGCGGGCAGTCGCGGAACCTGCACTAACAAAGCCTCAATTCCCCCTGAGTCCTTGCCTCTCTTCTGAACTGGCAGGACCCGGGGAGCTTCGGGCCTGAGGAACTGGGGCTCCTTTGTGGGGGAGGCCGCACTGAGCGGGAGCCTTAAAGGCCAGGGCCTGGGTTCTGACAGGTACATGCTCTGGCTGAGGAAGAGGGGTGGCCACAGGGTTTCCAAGTAAGGAGGCACCAGGGACGAACCCCGAGACAAGAAGGGGAGCAGCCAGGTCTGGCTGGAAGGAAGGAGGGAAGGGAGCCGGGTCTCGGAGAGCAGTGCTGGGCTTCTTGTCAGTTCCAGAGATCACGCTTCCTCCCGGGCCCGGCTGCTCTCCCCTGTCCTCACAGCACGACAGACACGGCAGGCGTGACGTGCACAGTTCTCACCCATGACTGTGGGTGGGGTCACACCTTGGTTTCAAATCCTCCCACACGCCTCTGGAGGGCATGACCTGCCAAAAGGCCCTGGTTCACTGTCCCCTCCCCCAACCTAAAGAGGACAGAGCTTTCCAAATGACAGAAGTCATACCTTTCTTAGTTTGAATCTTCAACCAAGAAGAAAGGGGGTGAGGGCCAGAGGGGGTGCGGAAAAGAGAGGGAGGGAAGGAGGGGAGAGATGTGAGAGAGAAACACTGATTGGTCGCCTCCCCGTGTGCCCTGACTGGCAATCGGACCTGCAGCCTAGGTCAGTGTCCCGACCAGGAACTGAACCACAGCTGTCGGTGGACGGGATGGGGCTCCGGCGAACCGGCCCACCCGGCTGGAGCCAGAAGCGGTACCTTTTGCAGGAGTAGCTTCGTGGTTTTCTGGTTCTCCGCCCTCAGAATGTCCTGGGAGCTTTATCTTTTTCTTCTTAGAATCTGCTTCAACTAAACAAGAATTTTTAAAAAAGAGAGATTTTGGCATTTATGACATCAGCTACACGTCCATCCATCCCTGAGCTGGCTCCCCAGGCACCCCAGCACGTGGGGTTTCTCCTCTAGGGCGGGGGCGCACGGGGAGCTGAGAGGTGAGAGCCCAGCTCGGCCTGGCCCCAAAACTCATGCTCTTTGTCTTACCTGGTTCAAAAGAAACGCAAAGTCTACCAGATCTTACACATCCCAAGTCCACAGCACTAGTTTTTAACAAGCCTCGCACCATGAGCTAATAACCACACACCTTCGGAGAGCTTCCGCTTCCTCTTTCCGGGACCGGCCCGGGCCTCTGCCTGGTCCGAGGCTCCATCCGCTGCCCCGTCCTCCGCACGCTGGCCCTTGTTCTTCTTCCTGTGGCCCTTCTTCCCCGCGGGGCTGGCGGCCTCGGGGGCATCCCCCGCTCCGGCCTCCGGCTCCGCCTCCTGTCTCATTTTTCGCTTTTTAGTCTTCTGACTCTTCGAATTCTCTTGGTGGTTTTCTAATTTTAGTTCTTTCTTTTCTTTTTTCCTGCTCTTCTGCCGCTCCTCCTTCCTTTCTCTCTTATTTTTCTTCGCCTCTACTTGCCCTTCCACGGTGTCATGTGCTTTGGAAGGTGCCACCTTGGTGGAGATCTCTGCAGGCGGCTTTGCCGCTTGGTTGAGTGGCTGTTGATCGTGCCCTTTACCGACTGGTTCCTTATTATTAAGCAAAACCAAGAAACACGGTAAGTCCTCATTCCAGGCACACCTGTTCACTCACTGAGTGTATCTACTGCTCACACTGTTCCAAGAAAAGACCGTCTTCACTACTTACCACTTCGGAGCCACGACCACCCCGCAGTTAGCACGCGGCAGAAACACACAGACTGGGGGGGACTGCCCACGCCCACACCCTCTCTGCACGCGACAGCCCCGTCCGTTCCCCTGGGAGAGGGAGGAACCCTTAGATCGCTTCACAGACCGTCACTTTTGGCTCATTGTTCACCTTGCTTTTCAACGAAAGGCGAGCATTCATGTGCGGCAGAAACCAAAAGGTTTATGTATCTGCAGACCTGGGTTCAAGTCCCAGCTCTGACAATGACAGGGCAAGTCATTCATCTGCTCCACACTGTCTTCCGGTCTGTAAGGTGAAGGTAGTGACAACCCCTTCTCATACAGCTGGTGTGCAAATAAAACAAGAAACGTCACGGGCCCAGTGCAGAGGGCGCTCAGCACACCCGGCTGAAGCACGCCAAGGGCTCCGTGAACGACCACGAGCCAGACGGAGGCGGAGCCTCGTCGTCACGGAAACTGGGCGGCTGCACGGACTGGGTGAGAGCGCCTTCCCACTCACTGCACGCACTCCCTCACTCAATCGGCACACGCATCCTGCCTCCAAAAAGGACTTCGGCACAGCTCGGCCCAGGGCCTGCCGCACTCCTCGACTGAGGATGCGCTGGGGGTCGCTACACCAGCCCTGCTCTCGGGCCAGGCTGCCTATGGAACTGCCGTGGGCCCGGGGGCGCCTGGCGGCAGGGCCGGCCGGGTCAGTGGCGGCAGCAGCCCCGGGGAGTCACCGCACTGACGCTCTGCAGCCCTCGCCCAGGTTCCGTCCCCGTAAGTGACCAGCCGGCTGGCCCCGGCCAGCCGCCTCCGTCCCCCCCTCCGGAGACTAGGTCCCAAGCAGGGAGCCACTGCCCCCCAAGGCGGACCAGATGCAGAAAGACCGGCTTTAACTCGAGCACAAGAACACCGGGCAGTCACGCCTCACTCTGACACCGGCGCACAGCCGCTGGCGGAAGGCGCAGCATCTAGGAAACGGGTGTTACACTAAACGGCTGGGGCTTTCTCAGCTGCAGGTCGGAGAGATAAAGCAGTCCAGGCACGTGCAGGTGAAGCAGAGGAGTTCAGAACAGACTCAGGAGGAAGAAGGGGACAAAGAAGCTTCCCATCTACCCCACGATGTTGTTCTCATTGCGTGTCAGTTATTATAACCACCAAGGGCCACAGACCTCGGCCCACTGTCCACCCAGGTCAGAACGAGTCTCTAGCTGGTGCCCTGCCTCCCCACCCACCCCCACAGGAGGGGAGGGAGAGCGAGGGAGGCGGGGACACGCTTCTACCCCACCAGCAGCCACTCCACAGGGAGTGGTGAATCCATTCCTATCTCCTTCCACTCCATCCTGGGCTCTCCTCCACCATGGCCCCCCACACACACACTGCCCTCGCCGACTCCTACCCAACTGAGCACCCTCCTGGGCTCCCTGACCCTCCTGCCTTCGACCTCATCCCGGCGACCTGACGTTGTAGCACACGCCCACAGCCCAGCACAGAGCAGAGGGAGGGATGACGCCACACACACACACACACACACACACACACACACGAGCGAACGGGGCCTCGAGACCCGCGCTCCGCACCAGGCACGGGGACGCGCCACGGAGGCCACAGGGCACAGGCAACGTGATGACACACGAGGGCTCACCCCGAGCTCCTCGCTGACCACTGCACTCCAGTCTTACAAAGTCCACAGCTTCAAAAGGGAAATTGCAAGAACTTTTTTTTGAAAAAAAAAAAAAACAAAAAAAAACTCTCTCTTTAGTTGAACTAAATCATTTCAAATCTTTGATTCTTAGTAAAAACAATGGCAATAACCTTTCCAAAATAGGTGCCACTTTAATAAAGGCCAATTAAATGATTGGTTATAGGGTTTCAAAGGCCCAATTTGATATTTTGAGACAAATGCTAGATATCTCCATTTGCTGTCTAAAATATTCTGTCTAGCCCTGGCTGGTATGGCTCAGTGGAGTGAGTGAACGCCAGCCTGCAAACCAAAGGGTCACAGCTTCAATTCCCAGTCAGGGCACACGCCTGGGTTGCGGGCCATGTCAGGTCCCCAGTAGGGGGCGCGCAAGAGGCAACTACACATTGATGCTTCTCTCCCTCCCTTCCCCTCTCTCTAAAAATAAATAAAATCTTTTACAAAATAAATAAGTCATTTAAATTAAATTAAGTATTCTCTGTATATAAAGCAACTCCTAACAATGTGACTGGAATAAAAGACGAGCCAGACGCACTGTTTTTTTAAACTACTACTGATATAAGTCTCCAAATGGGATGTAAGATCCAAACAGGAAGAGAGTGCAACTGAATTCACGTGAAAAAAAAAATCAAGTCAACAACGTAACCCACAGTGCGGCTACACGACAGCACTCCAGCACTCTCCGCAGGAGTGCCCGCACCTGGGAACTCACCCACAGACCCACTCTGACCGGCAGGTGGCCGACCGCCAGACCCCGGGGCGTCCTCCCTCCACGGGAGTAGAGAGCCGCTCACCGAGTGCCGGCTGCAGGCTGGGCACCGGGGAGACGCTCCCGTGGTCTCATCTGTTTCAAAACTGCAGCACATCGAGGGGCCCTTGGGACCCTGCTCCCCTTTCCTAACAGATGCCCCGCTCACTCCGTGGCCCCGCCTTGTTTGCTTCCCTCCACGGCACTCTCACCACAGGAGGTAGTTTGTGGTTTTGTTCACGTCCTGGCACGGATCGGCATGCAGTCAGTACTGAACAAATGAATGAATGAATGAATGAATGAATATGACGATCCACTTTTTAAAGTACAGGAAACTGCGGCTCAGAGATGTTAATTAACGTGCCCACGACCGAACGTTTGGCAGGGAGCGGCAGGGACTCAGCCCAGGTCTGTCAGACACCCAGAGCTCCTGTTCCCTCCAATGTGCCCGCTGCCTGACTTCTGAGCCAATCACTCCATGCGAGCCGCCACCGTCACCAAACACGGGGTAAAACACCTTTCTGCGCACAATAAGGAACTCTTCTCTGCAAGGCGCTCAGTTTATTCCTTCCCATAAACGAAGGCCCACAGAGGCTCTCTGAAAAAGAAGGCGGTCTTGACCTCCAAAACTAAGACACTCCCACTGCATCGTTACTAAGCATTCTGCCACACTGAGACTCGGAAATGAGATCAGACTTACACTGCTGGAAGCTTCAGAAAAGATATCCCACACCTGCTCCAGGACCGATTCATTGTGAACCTTTAAACTGTTCTTCATCCAGTTCTACAAGGAACAGAGAGACACACTAGGACGTGCATCCCATCCCACAAGGCCCACGGGCTGTCACTGGCGGGCCCGTCCCCACCCCCGGCCAGGGAAGCCCCGTCAACCACGTACCTGAAATTTTGCCTTTTTCCTGGGGATGTTGTCAAAACCACTAATTTGCTCTAAAAGTTCTCTCACTTTGGGGCTGACATTGGGTCTTTTTATTAATTCATTAACTTTCTGGAAAAAAAGGAAGATAAAACAAAAGCAATAAACTGATACATCAGTGTCTTGTAGCCATGGCTACAGAATTCACATTTCAAGTCCAGACTTTGTATTAATTAATGTCTACGCTTACGAACTCCACATATTAGTATTAGAGATCCTGGCCGGGGCCGTCAGGTAAGACAAAGAAACAAAAGGCATCCAAATCAGAAAAAAGGGAAACGATTTCCGTTCGCAGCCAACACGGTCCTTCCCACATGTGGGGCACCCTGAAGATTCTGCAGAAAGAACCTTTGGACCCCCAGAGCAAGGCCAGCACACCTGCAGAACTAACCCTCGACGGTCAAGGAGCATTTGTACAAAATAACAACCTGCAACAGAAATTCAGAAAACAGTCCCATTCACAAGAGCATGAATAATAAACTGCTCAGGCACAAACGGAACCAAGGAGTTCATGAAAGACATCTACTGAAAACTACAAAACACTGCTGGAAAAAAAGACGACACAAATAAGTGGAAATGTTCGTGGACTGGAAGACTTGCTGGTGAAAATTCTAAAATATTTTTGCACGAAACCTACAAAACACTCGGATTAAAGACAAACGACACTGCAATCATCAACAGAGAATTACTCTTCTGCAAGGCTCAGCTGCCCAACCGCGGCCTGCGCTAAGACGCGAGGTTTCCGGCTCCAGTAGGCACGGATGACGCGTTCCCTCTCGGTGTCCCAGGCTTCAGAGAAAAGTGGAAGGTGACAGGTGACGCTACTAGATGCACCAGACCTTACCTGAATCCACGCCTGCTGTTTGAGATCGCCTTTGTGGGTTTTACCCTCATAGCCTTTGCCACCGTACTTCTGATCTTCACTTATGCATTTCACGTGGCTTTTATAGTCATCGCCCCTGTGAGGCGACAGAGGTCCCGCCGTCAGATGACGCCCAGAGCAGAGGCTGTCGTGTGCTAGCCCGGTGCTGCTCCTCACCGGCCCGCCCGCCACCCCCCGCCCTTCCCTCACTCTGCTCACGACCCGCCGCTGCTCAGCCACGGCCTCCCTCTGCCAAACCTTCCCTCTGCCAAACCGGCCACCGCGGAACCCGCCTCCAAACTCCCCATCCACTTTGCATCCTAATGCCTTAAACCACACTGATGAGCAGGACTTGTTGTTAGTCGTAAGGGCCTCTACGCTGAATTAAAAAAATTCTCTGCAATAGGTGGCTGTATCTTAAGTTACAAGATCTGTCAGACTGCCAGGCAACATAGCTGGCAATCAATAATTAGTTGGAGTGCAAGTTCAAAGCTGGAATAAAATCTGGTACCGGAACTAAGGGAATGTTGCACATCAATACACCTCAATAAAAAAAAACAATAAAAAATTAAACCGGGTTGAAAAGGCACGAGGGTGCCCTGCACAGCAGGGCACCTACACAGTTGGTAACGCTGCGTGTTTGCAAGTGGCCGAGGGATCAGAGCTGCGAGTCCCCGTCACGAGGGAAAAAGCTTTCTGAGGCTATGCACGGGGACGGATGTCAGCCAGACTTTGTGACCACTTGTGCAATGTACACAGATATTGAATCATAACATACACGTGAAACTAATATAATGTTATATGTCAATTATACCCCAATAAAAATAATTTTTAAAAAAAGAAATGGGGTTAGATCATTAAAAGTTCTGGATCTCAGAGTCTTGGGAAGAAAGAAAATTTCAGTTGTCTCAGTCTTTTGGAAGTTGTGTGGGCCTCCAGGGAGATGTGTGGGACAAGGTCAGGGGCAAAATCCCCAGTGAGAAAGACCCCAGCTTCACCTGTGTTCCCGATCAAGCTTCTTCCTAGCATTAGGTACGAACAAGGACTGCAGCGGTTTTCAAATTTTTTTTTTTTAAGTATCATTGCTCTAGCATAAAAGTGAAATGTGCTGTTGGCAAACAGCACCCAAACGCCGCAGAGGACAGCGGGCAGAGGCAGCACAGCCGCCCCTTCACTGGAGCCTCTGAGGCTGCGGGGGTGAGGAGTCAGCCAGCTGCAGAGGCCCTCCCGAGGACACGCCCTCCCAGAGGACACGCCCCCTGAAGACACCGTGGGGGGACACGCAGGGTCTGCCCTGCCCCCCCTCCAGTGGAAGCGTGGGATGGATGCACCGGGGAGCAGGAGCTCCCCCCGACCTCTGATCTCCTGGCTGGGATTGGCCTCCCGTCTCGGACACCCCTTTTCTGGCGTGTTAAGCCATCTCTTCAGTGCTGGCAGCCCTGGGGCCCCTGAAGCCTTGCTCCACGGCCCCCGCCCAGGCTCCGGCGACGGGCCGACGAGGCAGCCGCACCGCCGGGTCAGGCATTCCCGCCGCCACAGCTCCCCTCCTCCAGCCTTCTCCTTAACTCGTCCACGCAGGGCGAACGGTCCTGCGCCCACTCCCACCTTTTCCACGATGTCTGTCTTCCTTCCAGCACGCCTCTGCTTTCCACAGCTCTGTGCAAACGGCCCCCCAGACCGGCCCGGGCCTGCGCCGGGCCCTCGGAGCCCCGCGGGACTCACCAGAAGTCGGCGCCGCAGTCGATGCAGGAGAGGCACTCGCAGCCGCGGCACACGGCCAGGTGCTTCTCCACCTGCGCCTTCTTCACCGACTCCCCGCACGCGTTGCAGGTGAAAAACACCATGGTTCACTGAGTGCCGCGCTGTGCTCTATGCGAGAGAGACTGTGAGTCTTGTCCTAAGAGAAATTAAAAATAAAGGAAAAAAAGAGATAATTATCATCCTAATCTGAAACTTTTATTCTCAATAAACAATCACACGGCTAACTTTCCAACTGGAATTTCACACGAAGGTAACTACGAACAACAGAGTCCGAGCCGGTCAGCAATCTCCACACACCGCCGCCACCGCGGGGGCAAAACTGTGACCGGCCGGGACACCGATGCCTGACGTCTGTGGGGGGCTCACTCTCAGCTCTGGGCCTCTCAGAGCTCCACCCACGTTAACAGGAATCCTCACAGCAACACCCGAGGGGGCACTAGCGCTCCGTCTACACGAGCTACGGAAGCACAGGGCGAGTAGGTGACTTGCCCAAGGTCACACAGTAGCAGAACCAGGAATCAAGCGTGGTAGCAGGCTCCAAACATGACAAGTTAGGGGGGCATTAAGTGAAATATCTTACCCTTTCTAGTAACTCTCTCTCCCTCTCTCCGCCCCCCACCATCTCTCTCTCACCTTAGGCGAGTACTGCAAAGCATTTCAGGTCCCCAAATACTGATCCAACAAGGACACAATGAGGGGGATGAGGGCGCTTTAGAAAGTACAGAAGCGCCCCACCGACAATCCCTGTGAGCACAAGCAACTTCCGTGCAGGCTTTACCGTGTGCCCGCAGGGGTGGACACAGGAGGCCGTGCCCTCGGGCCCCGCGGAGAGGGAACGGGCGAGGGGCCTCCTCCGTGGGCTCCTGTCGGTGCAGTAAACAGGGGGGCCGCTGCGGCTGTCCTCACTGCCGGGGGCTGAGTTACGGGCGGGCGCACAGACCCACCACCTGTGCCCAGCACGGGGTCAGCATTACACACGGCCACACAGATACATAACCACCATTTAAAAACCCACCGAGCTGCTACTGTGCTCAAAAAAAAAATGCAAATTTGTCTAAAGTGTGACAGAAGTCACAGTAACTTTCCATGCTTATCTAATCTTTTAATCACCAGATTCTTAAAGAGTACTGTTTTATAGAACAAATAAGTGTCACAGCAAAACCACCGAGAACTGTCTGACCCAGCACTCGTTTGCTCACTCAGGAAACCGGGGCAAAGGTCAAGGAAACTGGGGCAGTTTGCTTCAGGTAAGACCTCGCCCCCACACCCTCCAGCACAGACGAGGGCCCCTCGGTGCCCAGAGCAGGCTCGTGCCTGAACCACCCCCTCCGGGTCACTGCCGGAGAGCTTGCACCCAGGCAGAGCAGAGACCAGGGCTGCTCCCGGCCACTCGGCCTTGAATGGAAATGCACGTCCTGGCTGCGGCTCCTGGGTTACCAAGGCCCAGCCGGTGTCTCGTGGGGGCCTCTGGCCCTTCAGAGCATTGCTGGACAGGGGCCTGCCTGTTGGGCTGTGTGCAAACGCAGGCCCTGGCCCAGGCCCCCCGCACCCCCACTCGCCATCAGGGTAGATGAGCGAGGAAGGGCGTGCAGTCGACCACAGCCTCGCACAGAATCCGAAGGAAACACGCCTGTGTGCTCTGGGCCTACAGCAACCACGCCGTCTCCCCCCCCGGGTGCGGGGAAGATGGGTGAGGCTGTGAGACTGGTGCAAGTCCTGGGGGTGGGCTCCCTCCAAGCTCAGCTTTCTGCAGAAGGAGGCTCAGTCAGTGACGGGCAGCAAGGACAGTGGCTGACCGGCCTCTCAGGGGCAACAAAGGCTGAACCAAGAGCCAGCAGCACGGCAACAAATACACAGTGGGGGGGGGGACTTTGGTATGAGAGCAAGGGCTGACGACCGTCAACGCGTCACCAAGACACAGAGGGCATGCTGCCACCGCACACACACAGCAGAAGCAGCTGCGGGAAGTCAAATTATCTGCTGAAGAATGTGCTAAGTACGTTCGTGATGCAATTCCACAATGACAAATACCCTCTCAGGGTTAGGCCATGGCCTAGGCAGGAGTTTCCAACCTGCTGGCGTCTCTGGGCCACACTGGAAGAAGAATGCTCTTGGGCCACACATTAAATACACTGCAACACACAATCACAAAGAAAGAAAACCTCATGGTGTTTTAAGTGATTTACAATTTGTGTTGGGCCACGTTCACAGTCACCCTGGGCTGTACGTGGCCTGCGGGCCACAGGCTGGACACCCCTGGGCCCTAGAGCTTCCTGGCCTTCCTCGTTCAAGTTTATTTTGTTTCCTGGGTGAGGGGGACGAGGGAAGAGGAGGCGGCGTCAGCAAGCTTTGAGACAGACCCCCTGGGGAGACTCGGCTGCCACAGGTCTGGAATGAAAGGCCTGGGAAGGGCCGGTGGAAACAAGACGTACGGACTGACAGGAGCCAGCCATGTTGACAAAGAAGATGCCGGGAGTATCTGTGCAGAACACGCCCCCCCTCCAGGGATGAGCCGCAGAGTGTCAACAGCAGCTCGGCGAGGGCTGGAATTTGACCTCATGTCCACAGGAAAGACGCCCCCAACCCTTCCATTCAGTCTCGTACAGCAAACATCCACGTGTAGAAGTGGGCGCATTGTCTTTCCCAAGCGGAAAGGGCAGCGCACACTGGGAGTCGGACTCGGCCCCTCAGTGCCGGCTGCAGGCTTCACAGCCTGCGTGCGTCTTTACCCTTGACGTGAACCGGGAACACGTGGCTGCCTGCTGGCTGGTGAGATAAGCAAGCCCCGTAAGGAACGTACTGCTCACGTATTCAGAGCCCAGAGGCTATCCCAGCACCAGCCGAGGGTCACCCTGATTGGGCCTCACAGCTGACCCAGCCCCCTGGGGAAACACCTGTGTGCGTGTGTGTGTGTGTGTGTGTGTGTGTGTCTGGGGGGTGGACCGCAAAGAACAATAAGCTGAAAACCATCCTAACTGCACAACAGAGAGGCGTCCCAAGTCTTAGTGCAGGCTTAACCATCTCAGAAGTGCAAATGCAACAAAACTTACAAAAACACACCATGTGACATCAGTCTCTCCAACTGAAGATAGCAAGCATTGCCTAAAACAAAAAAATTAAACTTATTAAAATTTCATGAGACTAAATGTGAAAGAAATTTAAACAACTAAACCTCCAGATGATGTGCGTGGAAATGTGTGACATCTCCCCCTTGGACCAGAGGAGGGCCGGAAGCGTGCTACCTGCAGGCTCAGGACACCATCCGCTGGGCGCCGGCGTCATTCAGCGTTCGGCCCCAAGTGTAAAAAGGCGTGTTCTTTAGGGGCTGAACCTAAATTAAGAGCCCCCATTTCCTTCCCTGGCTCCTCGGTCTCGGTGCCCAAGGCTGGGTCCCCATCAGCCACAGAGATTCCGTGGGTCCTTCCTCCCAGAGATGCGGGCATGTGAGAGCAGAGAATGGCGAGCAGAAAGCAGCGTTTCCGGACTGGCAGAGAGCACACGCGGGTTCCAGTCCCGAGTAAGTCGCTGTGGTTCCATTCGGCAGACCCTGGCTGGATGCCAAGTGTGCACTGGGGTTCAGGTACACCCAGGTGCCCGCCCCCCCAAAGTCAGCCGGGTCCTCTGCATGAGCTGCCGCTGTCTGGTCAATTTACTGAGTTCTCGCCGCTCGCCCTAACCCGAGGAAGGGGTGAAGACAGACAGAACGTGAGCATTAGCTGTCCACAGAGCCATTCCACACCTAGGACCACAACTGCACTGACACCCCCGAAGAGGTCTGATCACACAGGCACCCACACTCAGCGAGGGTAAGCGATCTGCCTGGAGGCACACTCCGTGGCAGGGGCAGCCCGACAGCCAGGCGGCACGCCACAGCTCCCGCCCTGCCTCTCGTCTTGACTTGTCGTGTCCCTGGCCATGACTTGCCATCTAGGATCTTGAGACCCTCATCCAGAAAAACTCAAAGGCTGTACAAGTGAGCTTCCATTTGAAAACATGAGGACCCACGTCTTAATTCTCAGGCCAGCCCACACTGTGCCAAACCGCCTGTGTCCCAGTGGAGGAGGATGTCAGGTTCTGGAAGTGATGCTCAGCTGAGGGGCAGAGGCAGAATCAGTGAGGGGCTGGGAACTGTGGGGAACTCATCAAGACGGTAGCCACGTTCTGTTGAACTGGGCCTAGATGCGGGGCTGGAGGATCTGAGCTGGAGCCCACTGAACCACCTCAAGGTACCCTAACTTGAACCCGTTTACCTACAAAATGGGTCTTAGAGCACTGTGCCAAAGCTTAAATCAGAGGCACAATATGGAAGCTTCGTCCTTACCCGATGGCAGAATGTCCTGTGCCCTATAAACCTGCACATCAATGTTATGACATCCAGTGCCCACCCAACCCCACTCTTCTTCAAATAGGACCTTCAACCCACCCATCTATCTTCAAAAACTCACTCCGGTCCCCTCTGGCGCCCCACCAGGGGTGCTACTCTAGCGCCATGTTCCCTGAGAACATGACCCCCCAGGTTTAGTTCCAGGACTGGGATTTGGAGTGATTTTTTTTTTGCCTCCCTCCCTCTATGTTTTTATATTTTGTTTCTTACAAAAATTACATTCACTATTCTTTTTAAAAAAGGAATGTTTTTAAAGATTTTATTTATTTATTTTTAGAGAGGGAAGGGAGGAAGAAAGAGAGAGAGAGAGAAACATCAATGTGTGGTTGCTGGGGGCCATGGCCTGCAACCCAGGCATGTGCCCTGACTGGGAATCGAACCTGCGACACTTTGGTTCGCAGTCCGAGCTCAATCCACTGAGCTACGCCAGGCAGACATTCACTATTCTTAAAGCATTCTCAAGCACATATACACACAGATCTAAACCCCATCGCCATCACGACCACCCAAAGAGTCCATCTGACAGGCCAGGCTGGCAATGTCGGCATAGTCCCCGGTGAACACTCTGACCTCAAGGTAGTCACTGTCCCCACTGCACTTCCAGTTCTCCCCTGTGAAACGAGGGGTCAGGCCAACCAGACCAGCCCTTTCTTTCAGGGGTACAGTTCCAAGAAACCATGGGTACTGTGCAGGGAAGGACACGCGGGTCCACCATCCCACCTAAACCCGGGAGGCTCTGACGGGCATTCACACAGGACCGCCCCCTTGCGCTCTGCAAACCCGGCGAGAAGGCAGTACATCCATCTCCACTTAACAGATGAGCAAACTGAGGCTGGGAGAAGTCAACTTAACCTCAGCCCCCTACATCACTCTCTATGTCTTAAACAGCATCCCGTCTCTGGTTGAACAACCCTCTGTGGAAGCCAGGCTCCGTGCTAGACGTGGGGAGAGGGGTGCTGTGTGAACCAGTCCCAAGCAGGGCCTCTCTGCAGGAAGGTCAGCCTTGCAAATACAGTCCACTTCCTTCCCCCACCTGTCTCCTTAACAGCAGGAGCATCCTGACTTTTACTGAGCACTTACTATGTGCCAAGCTCTGTCATAGGTGGTTAACACGTCTGTGCTCCTGTACCCCTCACGACGGTCCTGAGTTAGGTTCTGCATCATTCCCTTTAGAGAACCGAGGAAACTGAGGCACAAAGACGTTAAGGTGGTCACACGTCCCGTTGGTGGCAAGCCTGGACTCACACGTGCCCCTAAGTCCGTGCTCTCAACCAACCCGCATGCCCTCAGGCCTCCTCCGCAAGGACCGAGCTCCCCAAGTCCCAGAGAAAACGAGAGCCCTGTCCCCAGCACTGCTGCCCGGCGGTGACCCACTGTCCTGCTTCGCCCAGGACAGGGAGGGTTTCCTGCACAAGAACCTTTCCATTTTAAAGTCGAGAAGAACTGGTCATTCTAAGTCCAGAACTCCTTCCACCTACCCAGAGCACAAACAGATCTGAATGGATTCCCTCCTTCCATGTGTGTCAAGCAGAGGGACCCGCTCGGTGGAAACGCAGGCATCAGCCCCGCCGCCCTCCCCTCCTCCCGCTCTAGCCCAGCCTCCCAGGTCGGACCTCTGAGCCGCCGCTCCTCACCCCTCAGCCCGCGTCCGCCAACGGTTGAAACCGGCCGCGGGGAGCACGTGGAGTCGCCGCGACCGCCCGCCCAGAGCAGCCACCACCTCCCGGCACAGCTTCGCGGCGCAAAATTCGTTTCTCAGCCGCCCGCGCGCACGCGCACGGCGACCACACAGCGCGCCGGCGGAAGTGACGTAGCGGAAGCGGGAGGGCGGGCCCGGCCGGCCGAGGGGGCGTTGTCCGGATGGTTCCGCCGCCGGCCGAGCTCCGAGAGCTCCGCTGAGGGCCGCGGGTGACGAGACGGCCGCGGGTCGGAGAGCGGCGTCCGGGGGTAAGGTGCCCGCCGGGCCGGGAGACCGGCCTCGCGAGGGTGTGCGGGTCCCGCGCCGCGGGAGCGGCCCCGAGTGGGGGCCGGCGCCTGAGGGCCGGACGGGGCTGGGACCCGCCGCCGCCGCCGCCCCCGCCTCCCGGGACACCCCGAGGGTGGCGCAGAGCCGCCGGGTCGTGCGGCGTTAACCAGAGGCGGCGCCGAGCTCCGGCTTGGGGACACGAACACCCGACCCGGCCCCTGCAGCGGGGCCTTCGCCCTCGCGTAGCCCCCTCGGCCTGGAAACCCCACCCGGCCTCCGGCTCGGGCGCCGCCGCCCTGCGCTTCCGGCTCTCGGCTCGCGTCCGCCGGGTCTCCCGGTCTCCCTGTCGCTGAGCGCGGAGCCCAGCTCAGTCCGGGACCCGGTGAGCCCCGGGGCCCGTCCCTCCTGTGGGTGAGGGCGGTAGCGGCCCCTGCCTCGTCGGGTGCTCGCAGGGGCAGGCGGAAGTCAGGCGCCCGGCCCGGGGCCTGCCGCCGCGTCGGGCCCACCGCGTTCGGGCACCCGGCGTTCGGGACGTGGGTGACTGACCGGCGTTCGCGCCGGGTCGGGGGTGGGGGGGGGTGAGCGGAGCGCAGTGAGAACCGGCCCCCGAGGGGGCGTGTGTGGGCCTCGCTCTGCGGGGAGCCGCGCTGGGCCTGAACAGCGGGTGCGCGCGCCCCTGCTCCGCCTGCCCTGGCGAAACACCGCGGACTGGGCGGCCTGCACCACGGCCGTTCATTTGCTCCCAGTTCTGCAAGGGGGAGGTCCGAGACCGAGGGGCCGGCGGTGCGGTCTCCCCGCGGGCGGCCCCTCTTGGCGCGTGGGCGCCGCCTTCGCGCTGCGTCTGCACCGGGCCTTTCCCTCTGGGCGCGAGCGGCCCCGCGGTCTCAGCGTGCGATGCCCTCTTCTCAGAAGAGCGGCAGTCAGACTGGATTCGGGGTTTTGGCGTCACTGGATTGGGTTTTAACTTAATCACTGCTTTAGAGGGCCCGTCTTCAAACATAGCCACGTTGTGAGGTCCTGGGGAGTCAGCACAGGAATTTGGGGGGGACGCGTGTCAGCCCAGGGCAGGAGTTCGCTGGGATGGACCAGGAGGGGGACAGTGCCCTAGAGAAGGGGCAGGGTGGCCAAGAGGTTTGGCAGCAGGGCGCGCGGGTAGGCGCCTCCTCGTCTGCGCTCGCTGCTGCAGCGTTTCCTGCGCGTCCCTCGGTGACTGGGGCGAGCTCCCGGCCCCCTCTCTCTGGCGCCGCGGTCTCCAGGTTTCGCGGGATGCCTCTCCCTCAAGGAAGCCTCCCCAGCCCTCCTGCCCCAAGTGAGCTTTGTGTTTCCTCCGCGCGGTGTCTACACTTGCGTCTCCCGCTAGACAGACTGCCCGGAGGCGTGGAGGACCGTGTCCCAGGGGTTCCCCATTGTGCCCTCGGTGCCCGGCGCAGAGTGGACACTTGGCGGAGTTCAGTGAACACTGAGACGTGGCCTGTGGAGGTCCCGGAGTGCACCCCGTTCGGTTTATCAGCCTTCCATCCTCACGCCGCTGTCCTGCACATAGTAGGCCCGCCACACTGGCTTCACTGAACTGGCCCGCGCGTGCAGCATCGCGGAGTCGTGTGGAGCTAGGACAGGGCTCCAGGCTGGTTTGCTTGGAGCCGGGACCTTTGTCGCTGGAGTTGGGGTGGAGGGCGGGAATGCACCACTTGAAAAGCATGGCGGCCAAAGAGGAAGGCAGGGTGCTGTGGGGCAAGGGGGGGGGGCGGGGGGGGGGGCTGTGGACCCTGGGGGCGTTCTCTGGTAATGGCCCCACCAGGCAACCCTCCGCAAGTCCGTTCCTCTGGCTGGTGGGTCGGCCGTCCTGCCAAACAGAAGGGCCTTTGCTCCGGGAGCCATCTCTGGGGGGTAAAACTCCGTCCGGCTCCTGTCCCTGTAGCAGCCACCTTCGTCTGCATCTGCCTGAGCCTCCTCTTGTGTTCTTCTCGTTCTCTTTTCTCACCTTTCCCTCTTCTTACATTGGTCGATTGACTGTGCGGTTCAGTTCATCTTCCCCCATCACGTTCTCAGGATAGATTTTTAGCATTTAGAACAGGAAGAAACTTTAGAGATTAACCCAGTGGGGGACCCCTTCATTTTTACAGATGAAAGAGCTGAAGCCTGCACATCAATCCAGAAACCGTGTATCAAGCACCTGCTGTGTCCAGGGCCTCGTCTATCTCGGTGGGAGAGATGCCCTGAGCAGTGAGACAGATGTCCATGTTCTCACCAAGGAGAGCCTGCTGCTTGTCACAGGGGGACTTCCCTGCGAAGGTGGGAGGGAGCGCCGTGCTCCTGTGTCACAGCATAGCGCCCGGTGTTGCGTGCGCCGGTCCTCAAGTGTGTGCTTGTCTGTGGGCCACCTGCACACTCAGGCCCAGCAGCAGAGTGCAGAGGCAGCCGGTGTGATCCAGGGAAGGCCTCTGATCCGTCACACACACCCGGAGTAGGAGTTAAGCTGTGGGCTTTCAGGTCAGATTTCCTGGGTTTAAATTACAACTTTGCCCCATACTGATCACCTGTTACTTGTTAGCCCTGTGACCATCCTCTCTGTACCTGGTCAGGTCATCTGTCGCTGTGCAGCAAATTACCCTAAACTTAGTCACTTGAACTAGTTTATTTTACCTCACGTTTGTATGGGTCCGGAATTCAGGCAGGGCTGTGCTGGGCAGTTCTTCACCTCCCTGTGGCGTCAGCTGAGACTGGTGTCGCTTGTGGTGGGGCTGGTCTGGGGAGTTTACCGTGGCTTTGCTGCCCTATCTGGTGCCTGGGAAGGATGGCTGGTCGGCTGGGCTCGCAGAGCCCTTCTCCCGCTTCGTGTGTTCTCTTCACGGGTGTCTTACAGCTGCACCACCGCCCGGGTCTGCGCCCTTCCTCTCACCTGTTCTGCTGAGTGTGGCAGAGGCCACTCAGATTCGAGGGGAGGAGGCAGGCCCTCTTCCCTCTGGGGGGAGCATCAGAGAATTTGTGGCCGTCTGTGGTCTGCCAGGCACCTCTCGTCCTCGTCTCATTGTCCTCGTCTAGGAAGTGAGACTAATAGTTGCACCTGTCTTACTGTTGTTCTGTAATTAAGTGAGTTAACGTGTAAAAGGTTTAGAATAGTGTCTGATAGCATTTGGGAAACATTTGATACATATTTGTTATTATTACTTTTATTAGTTATATGCATTATTATTTACACTTGTTATGCATAGGACACATAAGAAACATAAGTAGCTAATGTTTTTCTAGAAGTTTTTTCATAAGGGACTTACAGGATTAACGTCATGAAGCAATTAGAGAATTACACTAGAAAATACAGATTAGTCATATTTTTTATTGTCAAAGTAAATTTTGGAATGATTCGTAACTTTCCATGTCATCATGACTCTAAGGGTCATTCCAAAGAATTTTTCCCTTTATCACTCTTATATAGCCAGAAAATGTTTAATGCAGGTAGAGAATATTTGCTGCATTTTGCCACTTAAGTCTGTGGAGGAAGGTTTTGTTTGTGTTTTCCAACATTCTTTTTCTCATGGGAGACAGCATAGCTTAAAGCATAGACTACAGGGTTTAGGAACCAGGATTTATTTAAATGCTGGCTCTTTAAAAAAGATTTTACTTATTTTCAGAGAAAGGGAGAAGGTAAGAGAAAGAGAGAGAAACATTGCTGTGTGAAAGACACTTCGGCTGGCTGCCTCACACACACCTCCCTGGGGACCTGGCCGCAACCCAGGCATCAGACTGGTGACCCTCCGGCTCGCAGGCCGGCCCTCAGTCCACTGAGCCACACCAGGCGGTAAACTCCCCCGTTCTTAATTTCCTCGTGAAGTGGTAATATTGAGGGTCTTACAGCACTGTAACGTAGACACCGTGCTGAGCACAGTGCCCAGCCTGTGGTGGGCAGTCAGTAAACGATAGCTGGTAACGACAAACCAAAAGGCCTCTTCTGTTCGGGTAGCCAGTAAGGTGGGGTAGGTAACCTTACTCCATCCTCTGGCTGTTTGGGGCTCGGAGGATTCAGCACTGGGGACAGCGCCCGCCGCCTGGTGGAATGCTTCCCTTCCCCTGCTCTCCTTTCCGGTGACTGTGAACTCCCGTGACTCTGTGAACTCCCGGTGCTGGGATGTCTCTCTTTATGGGGGACACCGCCGCTGAATCCCACCCCGACCTCGAGCCAGGAGGTTGTGCCATCACCCAAACCCCACACCCCAGAAACTGAGCTCCCCATAGAGAAATGGGGGATCAGAAGAGGTGTGGGGCTGAGGGTGAGGCGATGGGGGGATATGTCTTAGAGATTCTCAGTTGAGGGGGCATACAGGTAGAGATGCTTAGCAGACAGCTGGACACTCAGGACTGGTGTTCGAAGGTGAAGTTTCAAATTGAGGGCTTGTCTGCTTAGGACAGATGAAGGCCCAGAACAGATGTGGTTGTGAAGGGGAAGAGCAGGCGCGGAGGAAGAGGCGGAGCGGGTCAGGGCCGCGGTGGGAGGGGCAGACGTGTGCTGGGGATGGAGGACTCCCGGAGGGAGGCAGGGAGGCGGGCGGACCACGCCTGCACCTGCTGCGGGAAGGCTGCGGCGGATGCAGCTGAGGACGGAACACTGTGGGCAAGCCTGCTTCAGCACAGTGGGGACGGCAGCAAGGCCGCAAGGTCAGAGGGGAGTCCTGAGTGGAGCGGGATGTGTAGTTGCTCTTTCGAAAGTGATGAGGGGCGCCCTGGCCCGTGTGGCTCACTCGGTTGGTGCCGTACCACAGACCGAAGCATCGTTGCTTCAGTTCCCGGTCAGAGCACATGCCTGGGTTGCGGGTTTGGTGTCCGGTCGGGGCATGCACTAAAGGCAACCAGTCGACGTTTCTCTCCCACATCCATGTTCCCTTGCCTGTCTCTCTCGCCCTCCCTCCCCCACTCTGCTAAAAAGAAACTGTATGAGAGGCTGAGGTGAATAGTTGTACCTCGTCGGTGTGTTGTGTTGTCCTGTTTTGTTTTGTTTCAGCGTGGGGTGATCCTGGTGTGTTTGTAACATCCAGTGAACCAGTGGAGGGCAGAGGGAAGCAGTGAGAAGGGGGAGGAGGGGACGGGCAAAACCCTGGGTAGGCAGGAGGGAGTGCCGTTAAGGGGAGCGGGGAGTTTGCTGTGGAAAGGAGGGGGCACGCCTCATCCCGTGAAGCCGGAGGGGCTGGGGGAGGACGGTGGGAAATGTGAAACAAAGGAAATGGAAGGCACTCAGGTTGTGTCAAGTTCTCTATCCGTCAGCTTGGCCCCCTAGGAAAGTCCTGGTCATTTCTGTGAGCGAGGGAGACAGGCGTGGTGAGAAGGAAGAGAGTGCAGAGGATGCAGGAGAGCTCTTCTGGGGAATGCAGCAGGGTCAGAAGACGTGGATGAAACCACTGCCCACCACTCGTTATCAGCAGCGGTTAGCCGGCATGAGTTTCCTGGCTGAGCGTGTGCTGTGTGCCAGGCAAGAGGAGTGAGGTGGTGCCCGCAGAGCGCACGGCAGAGTCGGAGAGAGAGGCGGCAGAACACGATGACAAGCACCCCTATGGCAGTGTGTATGGGGGGCTGTGAGACCCTAGCGGGGTGCCCCAGAGTCAGACTGGAGGAGGCACGGTGGGGAAGAGGGAGCATGGTGTGAATGGCAGAAAAGGCTGCCCGGGGTCAGTGGCAGCTCAGCCGGCCCTGATGCGGAAGGCGGGCGAGCCCGAAGTAAATACAGTTCTCCCAGGACAGGAATTACCAGAACCAGAGGCTTTGGGGGAGGGAGCGAGGCAAGGGTCCCCAGTCCACCTGCTTCAGAATCCCCAGGTGCTTACAGGGCAGATGCCTGGGCCGCCTGCTAGGTCAGCGGAACCAAGCTCCGGGACGGTGTCCAGGAGCCTGCATTTTTAACAGGCGCCCCAGGCGTTCCTTACCAGCGGCATTTGCTGAGTGCTTACATCTGCCCGCTGCTGTTCGCGGTGTTCTCCTGGGTTCTTGCGTTCATCTCAGGAGCCTGTGAGAGGGGATGAGGAGAGTAGGGCGTGGGGAAGTCGTTCGCCCAGGTCACATGGCAAAGGAGAGTGGGCCAGGGCTCCAGCCCAGGCCAAGAACGCCACCTGTTTGTTTTGGCTGGCACATCTCAGAGTCATGGGGCGTAAGGCAGCAGCAATAACAATAACAATAACAACAACAGAAGAAGAAGGGGCCCTGTTAAAAAGCTAAGGTTTTGGCCTCTTGGTTTAGTGACGTTTTTCAGTAACGGCTTTGCACTGAAAATGAAAACAAATAAAGCGGATAGTGACTTCTTAGGTTTTTGGGGCAGCAAACTGCCATGTGAACCTCCACAGTCTGACCCCAGTCTGACTCCGTTTCTCTCCACTGCAGGCACACCTCGGGGACACTGGGTTCGGGTCCAGGCCTCCGCAGTAAGGTGAGCAGCAGTCTTGTTGCCGGTGCAGGAGGGTCTTGCCTCCTCCAGTTCGTAGAAAATGCGGCGCCCATGGAGCGCAGCCTAGTGAAGCACGGTACAAGGAGGTGTGCCGTATTCCCCTGCCGTGCACCGTCTCCTACTGCACGGAGCTCCTGGCCAGCGGGGCCCATGCTGTCACTCGCCCGCGTGTTCAGGTGTCCAGCTCAGACCGTCATGTTTGGCTGGGTGTCGTGTGCTTGTGGGCGTGCTCCCAGCCCTACAACTGAAGCTCCACGCGGGTGGGGACCTGATGTGCTCTGTCCATAGTTGTCGCCCCAGGGCCTGACACACGGTGGTCAGTCAGGGAATAGATGGTGGGTGATGAACTCTCTGTATCCACATAATGACTTCCATCTCATTCAGGGTCAAAGTCAGGGTTCTTGGAAGGGCCCACGAGGCTCTGCATGACCCTCTTCTCTCCCTCGCCCCTCCCTCCCCCCAAGCTCCAGACTTCCCTCAACTTCCAGCTCCGTGCCCTCGCACCAGTGCTCGGTACATGCTGATTTGATCTTTTCCAGTTGGCTTTTTTCTAACCCATAAGTGTTTATATATAGGACTGTTTAAGCATAAATTAAATTAAGTTAAAAGTTCAGTTCCTTGATTGCACGAGCCACATTTCAAGTGCTCAGTGGCCACGTGTGGCTGACAGTGCAGGTATGGGACATTGTTGTCATTGCAGGTGGTTCTGTTGAACAGCACTGATCGAGATGCTTCAGAAACTGCTTCTGTTTGCTCGCCTGTTTGTTTGTAAACTGCCGTGGCAGGGAACCGTGGCAGCGAGCCTCAGATCAGTCCGCGGGTTAGGCGCCCTTTAGTGCCCACGTCGCCACGAGACCCACGGTTTCGTCTGCACTCTTCGTTGCAGGTGTCCTGCGCGGGAGCATGGACCCCGCGGCCGCTCACGGCTGCCACCTGCTGCAGCAGCTGCACGAGCAGCGCATCCAGGGCCTGCTCTGTGACTGCACGCTGGTGGTGAGGGGCGTCTGCTTCAAAGCACACAAGAACGTCCTGGCGGCCTTCAGCCAGTGCTTCAGGTGCGGCGGGTGCTGCTCTCACGGCGCGGAAGGGGCGCTTCTCGGGTGGGGCGCTTTCACCCAGCTTTACTTGCTCCTTGGACTTCACTCTCCTTTTCTTTTGCGGTGCCTTGTGGGGTTTCCTTCACTGAATTTGTGGGGTGACGTTGACTGATAAAAGTACGCAGGTTTCAGGCGCACAGCTCTGTAACACGTCATCCACGTGTTGTGTGCTCCGCACCCAGCACTGCGGGCGGTTTGCCCTCATGTTTACCGTGACCTCAGAGCGACAGGGCCTGTGAGCAAAACTACATCTACTTGGGGTGGTTGAACGCATTTTAGTGCTTCGATGTTAGTCATTCTAATTCATGTCAGTCTTTTATATAGACTTTTTATCCCTTCAGGATGAAAAGATTGAGGAATAAAATTTCTGGTAAAAACTTTTCTGTGATAAGAAATCAGAGAGGGGAAACAGCCTATGTGCTGTTTTTTTTTGTTTGTTTTTTTTTTTAATGAAAACATTTTACTTTTTGTTTCTCATTTGACTAAGAACAGTTTCCCACTCTCTTGGCTGACCCCGTAACCATTTTTGCCAGATGAAAGATCTGCTTGTGAATGGTAACGTCAGGCAACAGTGTTTCATTTTTAACTTCCAGTTAAGTGCTTTCCGCACAGGTCCCGAGGAACTGGATTCAGCTCTCTGTGGGCACTGGAGCTCGTTTCCAGTACCTTTTCCCCTGGAATGCGCACCGCTCTGGTGACCGCCCACGGAACGGGGTTCAGTCCCTGCTCAGTCACCCGAGTCACCAGGCCAGAGCTCAGCCGCAGCGTGTGCCGTAAGGACACAGCACACCGAGGTGGGCGGCACGTTCCGTCCTCGTGCGAAGTGGTCCGAGAGTCAGGCTCCGCCTTTCTCCCCGTCCGCCCAGGGCCGTTGGGTTTGGATGTTGTGATACATTGTTTGGTGAGGTGTGTCACCACACTTTGTGGTGTCTTCCCAGCCCTGCTTCTAACTCGTACTTTCCTTAAGAAAAAGCAGAACTGGAGGCTGTTTGGGGAAGCAGGTGACTGCGCCTGTAAAACGTCTTCAACAGCGTTGAGGACAGTCCACCTGACCCAGCGTGGTATTTACACGGCACAGACTCCTTCACGGCGGGTCTGCCTGGTGCCCAGGGGAGAGCGTGTGGCCTTCATGGCAGTGTGCCTCTCCCCTCGGGAACTCCTCGGGCTTTCCTCGCCGCTGGTTTACGGCCTTCGGGCCGGCTCGCAGACCGCCTCTGACGGCCGGAGGAGCGACGAGTGCAGCATGAGCGCGGGTCAGGGTCCTGGAGCAGCCGCCTCCACGGAGACGGAGAGTGGACCCGTGGCTGCCGGGGCCGAGGGGAGCGAAGTAGGAGTTAGCATTTAAGATACAAAAGTTAGTGTGTATCAAGGGTTGGTTTAGTATAGCCATTTTTTAGTTTTAGACTTTTTAAGGCACTTAGATATGGAAATATTTTTATATGTGTTTTATGGCCCAAAATATGTGATTTGTCAGATTAAACGTGAACCAGTTAAAAATGCGTGTCCTTTAGTTTTCTGCCCTCTATGGGTAATTAATACATACTGGTAATTACGGCTGAAAAAAGAACCATGAGTATGTTGCAGAATTTTACTTTGAGATCTACTTGGAAGTTTGGGCATTCAACACACTAATTTCATTGATCTGAATTGCTTTATTGGATGCCTTGCCAATTTTTTAAAAAGGTTAACGCATACTTAATTTTAAAATCCTGGCATTTATGAAAGGATGGTGATTTTGAATACTGACATGAGTATTATTTGTAAGAAAAATTACCAGCAGTGTGAACTGTTATCCTGTAAACAGATGTCTCTTCTGTTACCAGGAGCCTCTTCCAGAACTCCTCGGGCCAGAAGAACGATGTCTTTCACCTGGACATCAAAAATGTGAGCGGCATCGGGCAGATCCTGGACTTCATGTACACGTCTCACCTGGATCTCACCCAGGACAACGTGCAAGTGATGCTGGACATAGCGCAGTGTCTGCAGGTCCAGAACGTCCTCAATCTGTGCCACACGTTTTTGAAGTCAGCCGCCGGGGAGCCGCCCCCCGGCACGCCTTGTGACAGTGCGTTCCCCCCACAGAGCACTCTGGCTCCTGACGCCAACTGCGTCGTCGGCGAGCACTACTCCCCTCACTCACTGCAGGGCTGCGCGGCAGACAGCCCGCACGGCGAGGCCTTGGACGGGCCACACTCTCGGGCTCCACCGCCCGTTCTCCTTCACCGCCCTGCAGGCGCAGCAGCAAAACAAGCCCCCGAAACTTTAGACGGCAGCTGCACAGAGCTGCCGTTCAAACAGCCGAGTTACTACCACAAACTCAGAAACTTGTACAGTAAGCAGTACTACAAACAAGCCACTTGTCCCAGCCACGAGAGGATAGTTGAGCAGCCTTTCACCGTCAGCCCGTCCCCGGACCCGACAGCCGAGGAAATCCAGCCTCCTGCAGTGAGCCATTCCGAATGTGCCCTGCCCGCTGCGGAGCACTTACCCGCCCACTTCCTGGCCCAGCCCCTGGGTGAACCTGCCCCGGGCCCTGCGTCAGACAACACGTTCCAGCAGCCCACCAAGCAGATGAGGCTCAAAAAGGCCATTCACCTTAGGAAGCTCAATTTCCTGAAGTCACAGAAATCTGCAGAGCAAACCTCTGCACCCGAGTCGGATGAGGGTGTAGCAAAGAGGATCGATCCTGCTAGCGAAAGCACTGGCGAGAAGGCCAGCAGTCGAAGTGCTGAAGACGGAGACAGCGAAGAACTGGTCAGCTCCGAGAATTTCAGTTGCATTAATGAAACCGAAGAGAGGCCTCAAGAGCTTGTGGCGCTGGAAGACCAGTCCCAGATGCTGCAGTCCCAGAGACAATACGCATGCGAATTGTGTGGGAAACCTTTTAAGCACCCGAGCAATTTGGAGCTTCACAAACGGTGTCATACAGGTACACTGATTCAGTACCCGCAGGCAAAGGGAAGGACATGACGCAGATGACCACACACCATGGCCTGCCCCTCTTTTTTGTAAGAAGTTTTGCTATCGCTTGATGACGTCATTGACATTTTTGGTGGTGACTCTTAAAGTTCTAGAGATGCTTTTATAGAGCCAGTTTTAAAAGATGTCACATTTTTTATTTTTATTACATTGTGTTTTTTAAGGTTTTATTTATTTATTTTAGAGGAAGAGGAAGGGAACAAGAAAGACAGGGGAAGGGAGAGTTAGGGTTAGAGAGGAAGAGAAACATCAGTGTGAGAGAAACATTGATCCGCTGCCTCTCGTGGTTGCCTCTCGCACACGCCCCTGCTGGGGACCAGACCCGCAGCCCAGACGTGCGCCCTGACCAGGAGTGAACCAGCGACCTTTCAGTTTGCAGAACAACGGCCAACCAGCTGAGCCACACCAGTCAGGGCTTAATTATGTTTTTATATGATAAACTTTCTATCTCTAAAGACGCATAGTAAATTGTTTTTATGTATTGAAATTTTCAAGTGCTGAAACAGATAAGCTATAGTTTAGTTGTCTCTTTAGAATTAGATTAAGTTTATTCCTTTATTTTAAGTTTATTCTTTAAAAGCATAACAGGTTAATTCAGACTAAAATAATTTAGTTTGAGTAATTCTAAAAGTTCTCTGTAGAGTAATTTGAATATCAGATTTTTTAAATTGTGATTTGGGAGGTAGGAGGTAAACTTTTTAATAAGGATCAGTTTTAACCATTTGATATTTTCAAATGGAAGTTCTTCTTTTTTGAACATTGACTTTTCAAAGTTTTATTACCTTGATTCATACCTCCTCCCTCCCCTTTCCAAAAAGTATGTTTTTTCTAAAAGCTTTCTAAAAAGTGGCCCTGGCTGGTGTGGCTCAGTGGGCCGAGCACTAGCCTGTGGATGGAAAGGTTGCCAGCTGGATTCCCAGTCGGGGCACATGCCTGGGCTACAGGCCAGGTCCCCAGCTGCGGACATTCGAGAGGCAATCGATCAATGTCTCCCTTGCACAAAGATTTTTTTTAAGTGTTATACAGCATATATACATCCCATTATACAATATGTATAACTTTTTTTCCTACATTCAAACATGATAACTCTAATACACATTATAAATGAATGCCAGTTATCTCATAGGCAAGAGAAGTAATAGGCTTCCCAAGATGCTTCCAGAAGAACCGCTTTTACGGTGCTTGCGTAACTGCAGTTACTGGTGTGACACTGTTGTCGCTCTGGTGCCTGGTGGGCCTTGGTGTTTACTGCCTCCGTGCATGGTGAGAGGCTTATCCAGTGTTTGTGAAAGCCCTTTGTGGTGTGTTTGCGTGTAGAGCACTACCAGCATCATCACTAGTAGTTCAGAAGTGTGCTCCATGTGAAGGCGGTATCACGGACTCAGTTTTGCCCTGAAAAAAACTTAATTTAGGTCATTCTGTTGGCTTTAAATTTCTTAGAGCTTAACGATCACTGTAATTGTGGTTTGAGAGACCCATTTAGCTTTGAAGGAAATAAAAATTATTGATCGTGTGAGAACATCTTGAGTGACAATAGTCATCCATCACGGCGAAGGCGTTCACCTGAACCTCAGTCCTCTATTGAGAGGGCGGCAGTCCTCGACCAAGGATCGGGGACACGCTTCCAGGGCTCTGCGAGGCCAGAGCTGTTTCCGTCGCGGTGCAGGGTATCGCTTGCCTCTTCCTCCTCCTCCTCCCGCAAGTGGTCAGTGGAGTCGGCCAACAGCTGTCATCCCTCTGGTGGCCAAGGTGGTGTCTAGTCGTGTGTTAGGAGTCGCCCGGTTTTCATTTCTCGTGTGGACCACGCTCACAGGTACGGCCACACAGACCACAGCTCTCAGGTCTCAGTGTGGAGGGCTGCTGAGAGCGAACAGTGGGATGGCCACTGGAGTGGGGGGTTACTCCTGGTCACTCAGGGGTCTTATGGTCGGTGGTCTCTTTTCATGCTCTCAGATCTCATAAGGGGCGCTTTAACTTAACATTATCTATTATCTCCGTAATTTCAGGCATAAATGTGGCCCCCAAATACAGGATTAATGTGAGTATAATTATTCGGAGTCAAAAGCTTTCTGCCCACCCATCCTTGAGGAAGCCATTAAATAGTTTCAGGGGAAAACATAAAAGTTGGCTAAATGTTTGTGTTTTTTCCGTAAGTTGGCTCTATTAGCACTTAGGTGTCTTCAACTTTACTTGAAACAATTTTATTAAATTGTATTGTGACAGTTGTCATATCAATGTCCATTTTTTAAAAAATCAACATCGGTGAATTTTTGTGTAGCCATTTTAACATTGAAGATAGAAGAAAACACAAAATTTTCAGCATATTATACTTCATTATTTTAAGAAAGGTCAAAAAGCCAGTGAGACGCAAAAAAGATTTGTGCAGTGTGTGGAGAAGGTGCTGTGACTGATTGAACATGTCACAAGTGGTTTGCAACGTTTCTTGGAACTATTGACATTTTGGCCAAATAACCCTTTGCTGTGGGGCTGTCTATGCACTGGAAGATGTTTAGCAGCGCCCCTGGCCTCTCACCACCAGAGGCCAATAGGGGGAGATAGCCAGCATATTCAAAATATCCAGATCCGTAGAGTTGCTGGTGAAAATGAAAAATGTGTCTTTTATTTTATGGAAAAAACGTAAGGGACTTTTCGGCCAACCCAGTAGAAGTATCCCGGCAGGAGCCCAGAGACCTGCACGCCCCAGCAGTGCAGTAGGAAGTCATAGGTGGTTATTTTTTAAAGAGAATCTTAATGAAACCACTTGTTTGAGGGGGAGGGGGAAATGGAAGGTTCTTGGTCTTCCAACTTTGTGTATTAGAGTCATCCAGATTAAAGGTGGTACCTTGAGGTATATTATTAAACTGATCGTTTTCTAGGGACTGTTCGTAACTGTTGTGATTTCTTTGTAGTAGAGTTCCATTCTCTACAGTCTGTTCCATGCGAAAATGTAATAATTCCGAGTTCCTAAAACCAGAGGTAGCTCCCACGGTGTTACCTTGCTCCCCCGGTAGTGTGTTCAGCCCAGGCTAAAAGGCAGGGTGAGGGGCCGTTCGCGTCCCACCGTCAGGAGGCCCTCCCTGTCTGGGGCTGTCCCAGATCTACACCGCGTGTGGTGTGAGCGAGGCCCTGGCTCCGGGGGAGTTCAAGGGGGAGTGAGGGGTCGGGCTCCAAATAAGTCAGTCTGACTCCAACATAAGTCAGATGCAGGTTTATATTTGGAGGACAGTTTGATGTTTTAGAGGTGAGCCGTCACCTCTGCTTCCTGCCCAAGGGCGAGAGGGACGGGGAAGGGGGCGTGGGGACTCCCGCGATCCCGCTCTGCTCTCCGTGGCGCAGGGTCTCCGCCGTGCAGTCTCTGCTGCCAGTGGCCGTTCGCAGGGTGTCTAAACACTGTAAACAGAAAACTATACTGTGCAAATACTGTGACTGATCTTACAAGTTACTGTTCTGTTTTGTTTTAGGTGAGAAACCTTTTGAATGTAACATTTGTGGGAAACATTTCTCTCAGGTGGGAATACTTTTATTTATTGTTAATCATTGGGACCCTGAAACCCAGTGTTGGTTTTTAGTACGAATAAGACATGCTTGGGGGTCGTGAGAGAAGCCTCTGAGGGTGTCTGTGATTCAAAAGACTTCACACTCTAGCGGGAGAAGATGATTTTCAAGAAAACAAATTTCTGGTTCATTGGTGGGGGGGTAATACCGTTTTTTGTGAGTGTGAGAACTCCCGCACTCACCCCGTCCACCCCGCAGCGGGTCCAGTCCCCGCGTGTTGTCGCGTGAGTGAAGCAGACCATGTAGCGCTCTGCCTGAGGCTGCGGCTGTGCCGGGCCACGTGCAGACGGATGTCCTCTAGTTCTCGCTGGGGCTAACACGGATACTAGGGCGTTGGAAACAGACCAGACAATGTTCATTCCCTGCTTTTGCTGCCTTTCGCCGACCTCCGTTAAGGCAGCTGCATTCATTCTCGCATGCAGCCGACGCTCACCGTGCCCTCCGGCGGGCATTGTGCCGATCTGGGTACGAGACCCAGAGGAACCTAGAGATGGACTGTTCTAGAAAAAATGTTGGATGTAGGCCTGTGGCAGGCCGCATTTTCCTCCTGAGACATAAGGAAACTGCTCTCCCCCACACCGGGCCCTGCGGTCAGTCCCAGGGGTGAATGAGACAGCGGCTGCTCGTGGGGCCCGCGGGCACAGTCCTGCCGGGGCACAGCCCCCGCACGGCTGCTCTGGCACACGGCTGCTCTGGCACACGGCGGGTACATCCTGTGGCAGCAGCACGTGCAGGCTGTTCTCCTGGGGAAAGGATGTCAGCTGGGCCTTGATCGGGACCAGACACCGCTGGTCTGGTGAGAGTCGGGAGGTGGGACCCCGCTGAGCCATGGCAGCAGCCAGAGCGGCGCCATCTCTGCCGCCTTCCCCATGGAGCCAGACCCGCGATCCTAACGGCTTTCAGTCCGCCTGTGCCCTGCGTGGGGTGGCTCAGCAAGTTTCCTCCTCTCCCTTCAGGTCGCTGGTCGCGGCAAGGCCGTGTCCCATTTACCGTCCAGGGGTGTGCCGGGCAGCCACTAGGTGTGCAGGAAGTTCGGTGCCTGGACGGAGTGATGGTTCCTCTGGCTGCCGTTCTGGTTGGGGCTCCTCCGTATCAGCCTCTCCTGGGGCTCAGAGCTGGGCTCCAGTGCCCGGCAGTCTGGATCCGAGCCCTGCCAGTGGCTTGCTCTGTGACCTCGGCCAGGCCACCTGACCTCTTGGCATTTCTGTTTCCTCATCTGTGAAACAAGGGCTGACCCCACCGGCCCGCATGTGAGGAGCGAATGGATTGATAAGATCAAGTGCTTGGAACCTGGCCCACGCTTGGCACTCAGGAAACGTCACTCCCTGCCCCACCGCCAGCACCTCCTCTCTCCTCGTCAGTCGGTCTGCGCTCGCAGCCCCGCACGCCGGTCATGCTCTCCGCTTCCGTGTGGTGGGGCAACCGAGGCCCGGGAGAGTGACCGGCGACTATTAGCAGCCACAGCTGCTTCGGCCTCACTTTAGTAATTCTTAAAGTGAGGGTAATGCTATGTCAGGGGAATGGTTTAGGGTTAAGTGGAAAAGTGGACTGGCAAGCCCTCTGTCCATTCAAACTCTGATTGTTTCAGTTCCGTCCCCTTCCTGCTCAGACCCCTTCCGAGGCTCCTGTCGCCAACCCTGTGAGGTGCGAGCAGACGTCCAGGCACCTCGCAGCCTGCCCCAGCCTTCTCCCTTGGCATCGTGCCCAGCCGCCCTCAGCCACTCGGGCTCTGTCTGCCAGGGTGGGGGGTTTCGGCGCGCAGTAGGGCCGAGGCCCGCCACATTAGGCCTCGTCCTGCACTTCCCTCCCGAGTCCTCCCTGGGCAGCCTGTCCGGTGGGCACTGCAGAAATCCTGTCCTCTGCTGGTGTCTGTATTTGTATCAGATTTTTATGGATATAAAGTTATGTATAGTTATAGTTTTCAGATGCACATTGTTTTATTTCATAGTGAATTTTTGTGGACAAAGACTTCGTTCCATACGTGTCCGTTGCAAGCCTCCCGTGTCCAGGGAGCTCTAGGGGGTGGGCAGAGATGAGGGAGGCTTCCAGGAGCCCAGAGGAAGGAACAGACGTGTAAACCGTGCAGCACAGTGAGACTTCAGAAGTCCCGTGACGGGACTGGGCAGGGAACAGCATGTGGAAGAGAGGGCAGTCCTCTGTGTGTGAACGGCGTGTTGTTTGTGGTGGGGACACAAAGCAGGTCGAGAGATTGCTTAGGGCAGCCCTGAAGACAAGGAGACATTGGATAGGCTTGGAAGTCTGGCCTTGCAGGCCAGGAGAGAGGTTGCGTCGTTTATGTAGAGAGGCTCAGTGAGGGATGCCCACTGCCCGCCCTGCCCCTCGAGCCAGCACTGTTTCCCGTAATGACCTGGAATACGGGTCTGGGCTTGCGGCAGACTGGGAGGGTCCCGTGCAGGTCCCCAGTGTTTGCTTGGGAGAAGTGACTTTGTAAATGTTTTCCCTTCTGGAAGATTCGGAAGTTAGAGAATAGGTTTATCAGTGAGAATTGATCCTTTGTGCTGTTTGCTCCATTTAGTATTTAGTAGGGTTAGTTTGAAAAAAAAAGTCAACCACAATCTTAATAATGAATCAGCAAGCAGTATTAGACATTGGCTTTAAGAAACTGCTATAATCCTAGATGGGGCCACAGAACGTACGTACGTACGTACGTATGACTGAATCCTGGACTCTGCCTGCCCGGGTCTCGGGAAGGAAGTAGGGGGCACACTGGAGAGTGAGAACCAGTCTCCCCTGGGAGCGAGGGGTCTCCTGTGCGGAGCGGAAGCTGGACATTGGGCGCCGGCCCAGAAGGAGACTGCGGTGGTGTGAGTGACGGTCTGGACCGCACTGGGTGCGTTCAGCTGTCTGCGGGGGAGGAGCAGAGCGCGTGCCTCTCAGGGAAGCAGCCGGGCGGGAAGGCAGGTGTCGGGAGGCTCAGTGGCCCCCACCCACTGAGCCCTCTGGGAGCGCTTGGCTGCAGGGGCCCTGTTCAGGGCCACAGCCCCCTGTGGGAGGCTGCCTAGATCAGTGGTCCCCAGACACTGATGTGGCCACACACCAGAGGCGACAAAGTTTCATTCCATCCATGGTGAAAATGCAAAAATAAGAGGACCGTAGTTTGATGAACTTTTCCCAAGTTATAAAATTTTCAGCTCTTCTGGGGCAGTCCCCACACTTCTGGTGTCAAATGCCCTTTATCAGTGTGACGATCATTTTTGTGTAGGTGATTTCTGTGTTAATCGCCAGTTTTTTTCCCTTTTTATCACTTTGTGAAGCCCTAAAGTCCTAAAACCGAACTAGGTGACTTGTGAGACCTGGGACCCCTGTTATCTCTGAAGTTCTGTGACTTCCTGACTGGCTGGTCTGTACAGTCAGCTGCCATCCGCAGGGCGCTCCGGCAGAGAATGACGCGCCTGGTCCACCCCTGTTCGGACACTGCTGTTCCAGGACGTGCTAGAAGGGGCTCAGAGCATTCTAAAAATCACTCAGCAAATCAGAGTTCTTTTCTACAGTGGAGTGTGTCCGTTCAAAACTCTGACACCCGCACCCTCATGTGCCAGTGCATTTGCTTAGGAAGAGGGCCCCTTCCTGCCGCCGACACTGCGGTGCAGCCAGTCCGCTCCGCAGCGGCCGGGCCGGGCCGTCCGCAGACCCACCTCGGCTAGGGTCTGCGGCCCGCTGTCGGCGGGGCTGACTCCCCTGCCAGATCTGCCAGTCTGTGCCGCGGGAGCCGTGCTGCTATGTGCGGATGTGGCGGTGGTCGGTCAGGTCAGCCGTGGTTCGAAGTAGTGTCTTAGTCCTTGATGGCCACTACTGTTCCTGCCACTTGCTAGAGCTCTTCATGGATCCAACCATAGGCAACCTCTAGGGCCTGATCTGTGAACTTAGCACATAATCAGAGCAAAGTTTACCAAAACCAAAACACAAGTAAAGGTTAAAGAGTCTGGGCCCCGTTTGCCATGTAATTTGGTATAAATGATCTGAATGCATGATTGGACTTTTTTGCCAGAATTTTTCCATTATTTAACCCACTTTTATATCATATATGAAACTGATATATGCTCCTCTGTGTGGGGAAAGATCACTATTTCCATTACTTATGTCCACTATTAAGTAGTTACAGAAACACTGTATGAAGTTTTTTACTACTGCTTGCTGTAGTGTTGAGCAGAAGCCCGTTTGATTATACTGCGTGGAAGACACGTAACGGCCGTGCTCCACTCTGAAAGGGGACGTGCAGGGCTGCTCAGGGCTGACTCAGAGGCCGGGTCCCCATCGTGAGACACGGTTTACAGCAGGACTTGGAACAAGGGGTCCGACTGACCGGTTGAGCAGGTGGTGGCATCTGAGCTGTTGTGTGACCAGTGAGCTCTCCTGAAATTCCGGAGTGGCTGATGGAAAGCCGCCAGCGGTGCGTGGCCGTGATGCCAGCGTGCCGTGTCCCGGGGGCAGCGTGCCCCGTTGTCACTCTGACAGTCGAGCACAAGCTAGTTCACGTACAGGAACGTGCACGCGTGCTCAGTGTCTCCCCTCAGCTGGGCGGCCCTCAGACCTGCACAGACCAGCGCTGGCTCCCAGCCCGCCCGGCCGTGTGCCCGGAGCCACGGCCGCTGTGTCCCAACGTCCGCTTTCGGCCCAGGGAACAGAGGTTTCAGTACCCGTGACTGGGGGCGCCTGGGGGCCGGGGGGGGGGGTTGAAGGCCGCAGACCACACGCATGTTGCTGCTGACGCTTGTTGCTCTGTTAGCTATGTGGTTCGTAGTTATTCTACCAAAACACTTCCCAGAATTCTACCAAGTTCTTTCTTTTTGGCTACCTAAAATAAGCCTGAGGGTTTTTTTTTGTCTAAACCATATACAGGAGCTGGCAGAAGGCAGGCCTGCTGGAGTGTGGTTGGCAGGGTAGTAACACGGGTGTAATAATTTACAGTTTTAATTTGAACATTTCACCTATGTCATACGGTGTGCTTGAGTGTGACATCGTTATCTTACAGAATGGCATGCGTGTGGTTTGTGATAAAAGATTTTGTAATGCGCAGGGGCGTTATTTGTGCCAGATGCTGTGCGCCATATTCTGAAAGGTGCCATCGAACGCAGTTTCCCCGAGTCCGATGGACACACAGGATCTTCCATGTCATGACAGGACACGCAGGCCACGCTTTTCATTCCCACACGTTTCCGCCCACACGTGGGCTTCAGACCCATCTTCAAACCCAGAACCATGAACTACCTTTGCATTTTATTGAAAATACAATTTGCAGATTTACATAGCCAGGTGTGTTAGCTGGGCATTGCTGTTCATTCTCCCTGTTTTGGCTTATTTTGTGCGTAATGCCTGTGCTTTACTACACTTGGGTACATTTGCTCAATTCAGTGTGTGGTTTTTTAATGGAACACTATAAAAATCAAACGGGTATGACAGATTGAGACTATTAACTTAAATTACAGCGGGGAAGACTTTGTCTCCAAACCCTAATGCAAAGCATTAGACAGGAGCGGCTTTATTCTTGGAGGCACTTGCCGTCTCAAGTTCACTGCTTTAGGCAGTTTAACATTGATTTCCTATTGATTGATACTTGGAAGTCCATTCTGTGACCTCCACTTAAATGAGTTAGTCTCCATAAAGTCCTGCGAGTGTCAGAGTCAGGGACATGAAGTCCCTGCAGCTGAGGACTCCCGTGATTCCCGATTTGCATTTTTGCACACAGGGCAGAACCTCAAGCCGGTCAGACAGAGCAGCTTGGCACTGCAGAGGAAATGCTGCTCACAAGTGCCTTGCCTTTATGAACAAAAGCATGTTTTTAGGAATAAACAGTTAACATGAAATAACCATGTGCAAGTGCTACTTTCCCCCCAAGTGATCCTTGCATATAGATCGTCCAACTTTAGAAATATTTCAAACGATACATCAAGGTCTGTTTACAGTACAAGCTCAGCGACCCCCACCCAGCCCGTACTGTGTGCTGCCCCCCGTAAGAGAGCAGCCGCACAGGGCAGGCCTGCGGTGGGGCTGGGGGGGCTCACACGCAGCCCTGGCCCGGGAGCACAGCCGAGAGCCAGCCGGGGCCGGCAGACGCCGGGCGGGGACACCCCCACTGGGACCGGGCGGCCCTTCGTCTTGCCGCGGCTCCTTCCAAGGCGTGCGCATCTAGTCTTGCTTTGGCAGTTGGACGGGAACCTGGCGGATCTGTCGGTTTTCCGTTTGAATGCGTGTAACTTCTTAAAAAACCCTATCGTTATTGGTGTGCTTTTCTTCTCCTCTTTTGCAGGCAGGTAACCTGCAGACTCACTTACGTCGGCATTCCGGGGAGAAGCCGTACATCTGCGAAGTCTGCGGCAAGAGGTCAGTGTGGGCCCGGCCCGCAGCCAGGAGGACACGCGGCGGCGGCGGCGGCGAGGAAGGGCTCTGACCGCGTCTCCACGTTGCGTTACAGGTTCGCGGCCTCCGGGGACGTGCAGCGTCACATCGTCATTCACTCGGGGGAGAAGCCCCACCTGTGCGACATCTGCGGCCGAGGTATGGCTGCGCGTTGCCCTCCCCGTGTGTGAGGAGGCCGGGCCGGAGCGCCGCGGCCCCCGCTGACCCCTGTGCCGGCCTCCCCAGGGTTCAGCAACTTCAGCAACCTGAAGGAGCACAAGAAGACGCACACGGCCGAGAAGGTGTTCACCTGCGACGAGTGCGGGAAGTCCTTCAACATGCAGAGGAAGCTGGTGAAGCACCGGGTCCGGCACACCGGGGAGCGGCCCTACAGCTGCGCGGCCTGCGGTGGGTGCCTGCTGGCCTCGGCGCTGGGCTGTGCCTGCGTCTCGGTCGGCGTCCCTCCCTCACGGGTACAGTGGCGGCCCCGCTGTTTCCTTGGCGTCTCACATGGTCTCCTCTCTCCTTCCTGTGTTCACGTGTCCCAGACATTCCCTGAGTGCCCCAGGTGTCCGGAACTCTGCTGAGATGCTCCAGGTTCCAGGGCACCGAGACAGGGCCCCAGGGCCCCGGGGCCGCGCTCCTGGTCCGGGGCCGGGGGCGTGGACGGTGGCGAGTGCGGGGGGACATGGTGTGCAGCAGCCGGTGCCTAGGCACAGCACCCGGGGAGCAGAGTGGGGGGCAGCCAGCCAGCTAGTCTATCCTCTGCAGCATCCGAGCTCACGCCGGGGTCGAGGGAGGGCCTCTTGGGATCGAGTGTTATGGGGCGAAGGTCATTCCCACAGGCATGTGACAGGTCAGTGGAGTCATCCAGGGCGGAGAGGGAAAGCCGACAGCCCTCCGTGTCCAGGTCCCTGATTGTGCGGACCACGAAACCCGTGATCGCAGCATGTTCCGGACTCTGACGAACTGGGGACGTGTGTGCATTTGCACACCTGTGACACATCTGTGACAAGGAGTACCTGACTGTGTACAAAGCGAACAAGTGCAGGGAATGCTCCGAGGCCAGCTGTGGGAAGCCTGGAATTGGGGGACAGTTCAGAGTGGTGCGTTCCGGTCGTCATGGGGACCTGAAGCAGGGCGGGGCCCGGTGCGACTGCAGAACGACTTTGTTTCTGCCCCCACTCAATGCGTGCAAGTCTCCCGGGTCCAGATGCAGGCAGCTCCATGATTGTTCCGGTCCCTCTCAAGAAGCAGAACTGTGTCACTGTCTGTCACAAATGCAGTCTCTAGTGGCTGCCGCACAGTGTCAGTCCCACATCGTCGTTACCGCCATCCACGTGACTCCAGGTTACATTGTCCCTTCGCTCCCCAGCAGGGACCTGCTGTGGGCTGAGGCCCCTGCAGGAGGGAGCAAAGCAGGACCTTCTCTCCCCACCCACTGTCTCTCTCCATCCCTTCCCCACCTTGCTGTCAGCTGGGGGGGCGGTGTGGGGTGGGGAGAGGGAGCAAGGATGTTCCTGCATGGCAGGTCCAGATGGCCAGGCACACACAGCTTTATTGAAGTAGAAGCCGCGTGCCATAAAACGCGCCCGTGTAGAGTGAGCCATTCAGAGGGTGTGTGCCCGTCGCAGAGCTGTGCAGCCCTCCCTGCAGGTCCCAGAGCATCCGTGGCCCCAGAGGAACGCCACACCCACTGGAATCCCCCCATTCGCATCCCCGCCCTGGCCAACTGTCAGCCTCGCTCTGTCTCTGGGGGTCGCCTACTCCAGATGTTTCCTGGGAACGGAGTCACACCCCGAGTGGTGTTTTGTAGCTGACTTCCTTCCTTTAGCAGATCTGTGACGAACACTCGTGTGCAGGTTTATGTGTGGGTGTGTTCTCACTCCTTAAGTTCAAAGGACAGGTTCCATTTTAAGATGGCCTCACATTCTGGGCTTTGCGTGTTTATAGTCTTTCTCTCCTCCCCTCTCCCCGCCCCCTCCCTGGCATCTCAGGCCCCTCCCGCTGTTCTCCTCCAGCCCGCGGTGTCGCAGCAGTTTCGTCTGAGACCCTCTGTTGGGGTCTCAGTGGACGCTCTGTCAGTCCACTTAACGCCGGGTGTAAAGGGGCTCCAGGTCGGCTCTCCAGCCACCGTGTCCCTTGTCCCGGTGGAAACACTCCTGTTCCGTGCTGACCGGGGCTGGAGAGCGGAGGGCTGCGATGACCGATGCACAGCGAGGGGGCGTGAGCTACGTGTGTGTGCGGAACCTGGGCCGTTCTCACTGCTTCGTGAACGCATCGTGACTTCCGTGAAGTCACTGACGGGTTTTCCCCTCCGCTCCCCTTACCTCTCCAATCGTGGAAATGTGTCCTGCCTCCGCCACATGCACAGAGAGGAAACACAGCCAGGAGAAATATGTGTAAAGTTATGTTCACAGCTGAAGACACAAGTGCCTTCAGAAAAGCTGTTTCTACATGGTAGAGTGGCTGTGCTAGATTTGCAAAGATGTAAATGAAACTGGCCAGCTTTCCTGGCACCCAGGGCCGGCGGGGGCAGGCAGCCAGCTCACCTGGCCAGGTGCTCCTGTGCAAGGAGGCGGAGTCCCACGGGCACGCCCAAACCACGAGGCTGCGGTGGTGGGGGGACTCCTAGAGTGAGCGAGTGGTGGCAGGCCCAACTCCGCCCCATCAACGCAAGCTCCTCCGTGTTCTGTGTTCTGGAAGGGGCGGGGGTCCTCCTGACACCCGCTTCTGAAAAGGCCCCTCTTCCTCTGTCCAGGAAAGTGTTTCGGGGGATCCGGGGACCTCCGCAGGCACGTCCGCACTCACACTGGGGAGAAGCCGTACACGTGTGAGATCTGCGACAAGTGCTTCACCCGCTCGGCCGTGCTGCGGCGGCACCGGCGGATGCACTGCCGGCCGGATGACGACGAGGGCCCGGACGCCCTGCAGGAGCTCGCGCACGCCTTCGAGACCTCCGACCTCGACAAGGCCCCGCTGTCCGACTCGTTTTCCCGAGACGCGTCTGTGCCTGTGGTGCCCGCGTCTGCCAAGCTTCCCGGCGCCCCGGTGGAAGACTCGGTGGCAGAGCTGGACGGCCACCCTGCCAGCTCCTGCTGTAAGTTCCGGCCCTTGACCCAGCCTCATGGAGCCAGCGGCCGGGAGAAGCTCGGTCTGGACCCTGGCAAACTCGCCAAGGCGCCGGGGCCGCACACGCAGCACCAGGCCTTTGCTTACGCGGCCGCGGACGCCTCCGCCAGTGCTGGGCCGCTGCCGGCCGACGGCGTGGCCGCAGTCCGCTCCTCTCTGGCTGCTTTGGACAACCACTGCGGCGACCCCCCGGGCAGCCGGGCGGCGGCCACAGCCTGCAGGACCTCGGAAGGCCAGTTCTTCTCCAGCATGACGCTGTGGGGGCTGGCGATGAAGACGCTGCAGAATGAAAACGAGCTGGACCAGTGACGCCAGCCCGGCGCGTCTCAGCGTCAGGGGCTCTTGCTGAGTCCAGCAGGCCGGCCTCCAGGAGAGAGCCTTCCCCGCAGCGCCCTCTCCCTCCGGGCAGCCCAGGCACGGCAGGACCGTTTCCCTCCCGATGGGGCTGCAGTGGACGCCTGTGAGCTCAGGCGTGGGAGGAGAGGCCGCAGGCTCACGGGGAAGCGGACTATGGCGTGGGAGCAGGCGCCACGGGGCCGGAGGCTGGAGAAGTCGCCCTCTGACCGTGGTCAGCCGATGGAGCGTGGACAGCGCCAACTATTGTGCGGTGTGGTCACGCTGAAGCGAAACAAATACACAGTAACACAAACACTTCTGCATTTTTACATGACTGAAATTTGTTGCATTTTGTATTTTTATTTACACAGATTTTATTTGTATATGAAACTCATACTATAATTTAATTTGAATAAATGGAACTTGCCTTCCTATGCAGTGTGTTCCCTGCAGCGTTTTTGTTCCTCTCAAGGCCGCAGCAGTGGGAAACAAACAACGGGCTCGCCCTTCCGGGAGACGGCTGGGCTCTGTGTGGCCACCCTGCGACGACAGTGGGCTTCCGCAACCAGCGGAACAGGGCCCGGGCCCGGCTGCCACTTGCCAGGCAGGCCGTGGGCCGGCTGCGCGTCCTCAGGCTCTTTTCTGGGTCTTCTCTCTCGTCTGGTCCGAGATAAACGTCTCTGCGTCCCTCCAAGGCTCCCATGGCCCCGTCACCCTCTGCACACTGCCTGCCAGGGTCCCGTCGCTGGTGGCTCCCCCGGCGTGCCTCCCCTTCCCCTTCCCGCAGACTCCCCGGCCTGTGTTAGGAATGCGTCTGTCCACAGGGCTGTCGCTAAAGGGCAACGCGGGGCCAAGCGTGTGAAGATGCGGTTCCCTGCGTGGCACATGAGCTGCCCGCCTGTAACACTGCGCAGAGGACCAGCATGTTAGAAAGCGCCCCCTAACGACTGTCGTCATCAGCTCTAACGCACCGTTATCACAGCGGGACAACCAGTGAGAGGAACGTGGGTGGGTGGACGGGTGTCTCTGAGGAAAAGCAGCGCGGTCGCAGGGGAGAAGACCAAGGTAACTGAGGTGCAACCGCTGCTCTTCCCAGCCACTCACCGCTCTCAGCCCTGCAGGGCGGGCGCAGCGTGGCACAGGAGCCCGGGGTCACGTGGGCGTAGTGACCCGCACAGAAACACACGGCTAGTCAGGGTGAGAGCCGAGGGCCCTGGTGGTGGACTCGATGCACGGTAGCTGGACGGCCTGTCCCGCCCCCGACTGCCCTCCGCACGCCGGGCGCTGGGCTGGCCCCAGACTCAGAAATGCAGCCTCCCCGGGCCCCTGGGACAGACCTGCTTGGCGGGGACAGGAGTTTGTTCCTGTAGAACAAAACTGCAGGACACTAATCTACACCAGAGTTCTTCTAATTCACACTCCCTGTCTCCTCCCCCTGTGCCTCCGCCCCAAAGCCTTAACAACCCAAGTAAATAAAAACTCAGAAGGGGCGAGAAGGCCGGAGGCGGGTGGAGCGGGCACGGAGGGCAGGTCGCCAGGCGCCGCAGGGCACGCTCTCTCTCAGACCCTCCGCCGCCCAGGGACGTGCCGCCCCGTGCGCACCTCGGTCTTCCCTTCCAGACGGTTTCCTGCGCGATCCGGTACAAATGAGTTCACCCCTCCAACACTCGTCAATGAGCTCATGCCATACGTACTTCTTTGCCTTCTCACACAGCGAGTTGTCATAACCATACTCCCTTGTCAAAAAAGCATGTGTTGACGTCAGCGCTGGCATTCCCATCACTCCCTTCAGCCGGAGGGTGTTGGTGAAGGGCCCGCACTGCTCTGGGCAGGCAGCTGCGCTCCACAAAAACGCGCTCTTTTCCTTGACTTTGCAAGGGAGCCTGTGGGACGCCGGCTGTTCTGTTTCCTTCCAGCCTCCAGATGGCGGCATAGCCCCTCACTGTAATTACAAGGTGCGTTCGCCCGCCTGAGCCCCCTCAGGCTCCCCAGGAAGCCTGCTGCTGTCCCCAGTCTGGAGGAATATGTCCTAAGAAGGGAGGTCACTGTTGATTTACTTTTCATCCGCGTTGATGCTGACAATATCCCAGCCTCCGGCGTTCACACAGGTGTCCTGGCCGGGGCGGGGGCGGGGGGGGGGGGCGCACGGCAGGGACACAGCCCGGGCCCCTGCCCTGACAGCATTAAGAGGGGACTCCACTCAGCTTCATGAACTAGACACCGTCCGTGCGGTTCTCCACGTGCCCTCTGTACAGAGGGGCTTAGAAAATAGCTCAGAGTCCTGGGGATCCTTGAAGACGTGATGCTATGTGAAAGAGGCCGGACACAAGAGGTCACCTGTTGTATGACCCCATTTATAGGAAGAGTCCACAGCGGGCCAATCCACAGTGAGACAAAGCAGATCAGTGGTTGCCAGGGGCTGGGACTGGGGAGGGGTGGGGGGTGCGCAGTGGCTGCTCATGGGTCTGGGGTTTCCAGCCCGAGGAGGAGTGTACCTGCTAAGGCCCAAATCCCTGAGTCCAGCAGGTGTGGCGCACGGGGACCGAGGGTGGGGGCTTTCAGCACTCTGCCCAGCGGGCGGGAGCCGCCTGCACCCTTTCCTGCTGGCTGAGCCTCAGAAAGGATTCCTGGGATCCTGTTTCCACCAATGAGCTGATACCTGCCCTGTCCAATTAGAGCAGCTCACGCAGAGCGGCTCCAAAACCACAAATCAGAACAGTGCTTTGGGGGCCAAACTGAATTTGGAGTCCTCATTTGCATATAAATGGACCAATCAGGGGCCAGGGGTGGGAACTTTCCTCTCTATATAAGCCAACCTCCTCTCTCTGCCCGCAGACAGCCATCTTCTCCCTGTGTCCTCACGTGGTTGTCCCTCTGTGCGCATCTGTGTCCTCATTTCTTCTTACAAGGGCACCAGTGACCTCATTTTACCTTTAAAGACTCATCTCTGTAAAGACTCCATCTCCAAACACAGTCACATTCTGAGGTCCTGGGGGTGAGGGCTTCAACAGAGGAGTTTTTGAGGGACATAAGTCAGCCTGTAACACAGAGCAAGACGCAGAAGGGCCAGAGTGCTCGGCATGGAGGTGTGGCCGGGAATCCTGCTTGGTGGCTTCGAGGCAGCTGCCCTAGGACCCTCGGGACCCCCAGGACCCCAGGACCCACACCAGCCGTGTGCTGAGCAACCCAGTTAATGAATCTGCCTACGATCCCCACACCCGAGAGAGAGGCCAGGGACAGGAAGTCCCACTGCTGAAGGCCCTCCCACTTTCGGTCTCCCAGATTCCCGGGCGATTGTGCAGGGCCCTTGGCTACAGACGGGCCCTTCAGCTGCGAGAAAGAAGACAGGAGATGGGCCATCTGCTCTGAGCACACAGGCTTCTCCCTGCGGGCTGACACGCTGCTGCTGGCTGGGCCTCAGGGTTCCCCAAACCAGTGTGGACCTGTGCGGGGCATCCCAGCCGGCGGAGCAGAGGAAACCGAGCCGGTCCGCTTCAAGGAGGTGGCCGCCGGCGCTCGTGCGAGACCCCTCCTCAATCATGCCAGCCCCCGGCAGCCTGGGACTCTGAGGGGGCTCCACGAGACCCCCCAGGACTCCCAGAACAGGGCATAAAGGGCCGGCATCAGGGACAGAAGTGACCACTGCGGGTGTCGCTGAGTGCCATCAACACAGGACAGTTCCGCCATGTTGCATTTCCCAAGACCGGCCCCGCTGCAAGACAGCTGTGGAAATGCAAGCATGTTTCCGTCTTTCTCAAGTGGACAAGGGGACCGAGGCAGAGGGACAGCAGGACAGTGGGTAGGTGGGCCTGGGGTGCAGTCGTTACCTAGAAATGCACATGGGCTGCTATGGGTGCTGATGGACTCCGTGTCTGTGCCCCTCTCCCCCTGCCCCCCGCCCCAGATTCACATGGGGAAGCCCTGACGCCCCAGCGTGGCTGTACTCCGAGCTGGGGCAGCTGATGAGGTGAGTCAGGCTAAATGAGGTCATAAGGGAGGGGCCTTGATCCCATGGGATTAGTGTCCTTAGGAGAAGAGACCCCAGAGGGCTTGCTCTCTCTCTCTCTCCAAGGGCCCCCACGGAGGAAAGACCACCTGAGGGCATGGGAAGCTTCATGTCCCACCAAGCTTCATGGCGAAGCCCTAACCCGCAGGACCCCAGCTTGCGGTCTCACGTGGAGACAGGGCCGTTCAGATACACCGAATCAGGTCGGGTGGGGCCGTCCTGGAGCGGGTTCCAGGGGGCCAATCCGTCCAGCTCATGTCTTCTGAGCAGAGGGGGACTCTGGAGGGTCTGAGTGCGGCCCTGTCACAGGCCAACAAAGGCATGCCTGCGAGCTGGGTCTCGCCCCACGGGGAGGGCTGGGGCTTTGCTGCAGCCATTCTCCAGAACACATAAGTATAGGATTATTTCCAAATCCTTGCCACTTTCCAGACACACAGGTTGGGTAGAATTCCGCATCGTGGGTCTGCATAGGGTGGACAGTAAGTAGCTATGGAGTGCGGCCTTCTTCCGGGCCCAGGGAGGCCCTCGGTGCACACACCCACTGAAGGCACGAACGCACAAACGAAAGAATGAGTGGGCAGAGGACTGGGTAGCAGGAGCGCCCTCTGAGTGTGGGAGCGGTCGGAGAAGGTGCCCGGATCCAGTGGTACCTGAAGTCGTGTGACGTGCGCACAGGAGGACACTCATCTTCCCCACCACGGCACTGCCACCGTCACAGGGACGGGAAGGCGAGAGAGCCTGCATCTGTGTCACATGCACGTCCTACGTGAGGCCCCGTGCAGCTCTGTTGGAAAAGGTTAATCTGGGGGAGGGGGTGTGGCTATCACAACAGAAAAAAAAAAAGTAACGGATGTTGAGGCAGAGTCCACGTCTCTGCTACACCTCCCTGTGCGAGCCTGCCCATGAGGGATCTCTCAGCTTCAAAGACGGAAGGAGTCCTGCCCCAACGGGGTTCCTACAAAAAGGGTTTGATTTTCTCAGAGAACAAAAGTGTTTCGTTGTTGGTACAGGGCAGCCATGTCAGAGATGACCACACTTTGAGGGTCAGTGTCCATCCTCAGACTGGAGCCTCGGGGACGGAAGGAGGCTATGGTAGCTCCAAACCATTTTCTCATTCATGGCAGCGAGAAGGATGAAGAATGTGATAGCCTGTAAGTCCCTCTTCGATAGGAGAACAAAAGCTTCTCTATAGACACTCCCAAAAGACTTGCTCTAGCACTCCTCGGTCAGGACCGGGTCATGGCCTCTCTAGCTGCAAGGGAGTCTGGAAACCAAGCATTTGCCTTTCTATCCCCTCTGTTGGATAGGAGATCAAAAGCATATATGGCCTTTGACCACTAATGCCATTTCTAGGAACTCCCACACCAGCCGCTACTGCCCAAGTAGTGCACAGAGACCTGTACATACCCAGAGTTGTTTATGACACTGTCATTTATCGTTGTGACACTCAAAAACGTGCTGACCGTTCAAGACGTCTTGTTGGGGTCCCAGCTAGTAGCCCAACCATTCAATGCCTGGCCTCAGCACCTGTTACTTCATCTGGGAAACAGAAGAAAACACGACTCACCTGTTAGGATGATGGTGCAGACCAGAGCTGAGAGAGGGCTTGTCTGGCGCACAGCCCCTGCTGAGCCGGAGGGCGTGTGGGTGACTCCGGCCCTTCCGCCACCTGCCCCGTCTTGTTCCAGCCGGAAGAATGACGGCTCCCCAGGGTCAGTGTGTTGGACGCACCTCGTTAGGGAGGTTTCTGATTGGTTTATCTTTTAGAGCTCAGGGAAGTGAAACTCTGTCCTCCGGCTCTGTACGCTCTGGAGGGACAGCTGGGCCCGCGGGACAGAGTGGGGCAGCACGCTGCCTTGGGGTCAGCTGCGCTGGGTTCACATCGGTGTTGACGGCGTCCCGCTCTCCCGTCGCGCACAGGGGACGCTCGGCCTCTAACCCGTAAGACCGGGCGACCGTGCAGACCTCCCGGGCTCTCGCGAGGTTTCCCGAGAGGACGTGCCCCCGGCGCAGTCTGCAGCCGGGTAAACCCCAGTCGAATGCTGGCTCCCCACCCCCACCCCCCGCCCCGCCCCGCCCCGTCGTCGGATTTGGGGGAAGCACGAGGTCCTGACCCTGCGGCGTCCTGACGTTAGCACTGACGTTAGCTCTGACGTTGACCCTGCGACACGCTACGGGCCACCGTTGCAGCCGGACGTGTCCCCGGCCCGGCCCCTGGGGGCTCCGGGCTGAAAGGTGATTTAATCCCTAGGGAAAGCTCCAGCGACGACGGCCGCGACAGAATCCACCCCCCGAACGGCTTCAGAAGGAGCGGATAATGGGACAATGAAACTAATCTTGTAGAAAAGCACAATCAGCGGTCTCCTTTATAAATCTCATCCCCTGCCACCTCGGGGGGAGCAGGGAGCAGCCACTCACAGCCCGGCCTCCCATTCCACACGAGCGGATGCATCTTTCGCTGGGAAAGTACTTTCATTTCACATTCAAGGGCCATTGTCAGAGGCTTAGAAACAATCTCTGGAAGCTGGGATGACACAGAGCAAAGTCGATGTCATGGCTGCCCATCCCCCCACCCCCATTTCTTGCCTATTTCAAGTCACAGCAGTGCAGCTGAAGCACCGTTTATGGAGAATCTAGTTCACGGAAGCCTCTTGCTAGGACCGGGGGCCAAAGATCGAGCCCCCGTTTCCGTCCTCCCAGAGCTCACAGGCCAGGGGGGTCACAGACACAGCTGAGCCACCCGCCCAAGCCCAGCTGCCCACCCGCACCTCCCGGCTGTTTGACCTTGAACAAGGACTTCACCTTCTGTTTCCTTGCAGGTAAGGTGAAGCTAATAAGGGTGCCGCCCTCACTCCCAGGGCTGGGCGGGGGGCGGGGGGTTAGAGAGCGATCTGAAGAGTCCCCCGCACGGACCTGGCCCACAGCAACCTCGGGAAACCGGGAGCTGGGTGACACCCACGGCAGGCCGTGCTGTTTGTGGAGCACACGCGGTGCTGCGGGCAGTGTCACTGCAGAAAACCTAGGGCATCTGAGCCGCTCTCGTGACCACTGTCCTCCTTCAGAGGAGGAAGAAGCAGGTCTGAAAGGCGGAATGGCCAACGGCTGGAAAGGGACAGGTCCAGGCTGGAACCCAGCCCTGTCTGGCGTTGAGGCCCAAGCTGTTTCCCGAAGCATTACTCTGTGGGGGCAGCATTATGGGCTGAGTCGCTCCCCCACCCGCACCGCCCCCCAATCTCCCACGCTGAAGCCCTAACCCCCAGCACCGCAGACTGTGACTGCGTTTTGAGATAAGAGGTAATTAAGTTAAAATGAGGTCATATGGGTGGCCCTGTTCCAATGCGCCTGGTGTCTTTATAAGAAGAGATTAGGACACAGACACACACAGAGGGACGACCATGCGAGGACACAGGGAGGAGACGGCTGTCACAGCGCCAGGGAGAGTGGCCTCGGGAGGGACCAGCCTGCCCACGCCTGGATGTCAGGCTCCAGCCCCCACGACTGCAGAGCCTGTCTCTGCCGTTCTAAGCCTGCGGTCTGCGGCCCTTGACTACAGTGGGTGCCCTGAGGGACACAGGGGGCATCAGGAAAGGGGGGAGGAGTCTCAGCCTGGGAGGGTGCGATTTCCCAGAGGAACTGTGCCTTGGGCTGACCTTGAAGTTCATCAGGAGGGGCTGACCTTGGGAGGATTCTTCTGGTCCCAACCTCCCTGCCTCAGTCGGCCCCTGTAGCCCTAGGTGCAGGCTGACTTCCTCTGGAGTGTCGAGTCTCTTGCCCAGCTGCAGCCCACCGGGGAGACCACCCGCCCAATCGGGAAAGTGGGGGCTCCCCAACAGGCCCTCAGGCTCCTCTTGTGGGTGTGCAACACACCTGGGCACGTACACACACATGTGCACATACAACACACACCCAATGCAAACTTATATGTGCACACAAAAACACACAAGCACACATGCCCACGTATATGCACACCCATGACCTCACAGATACACACAGCCACGTCATACAAGCTGGCCAACATGGTGGCGGGGCAGGTGACTCCCTGGGTTCGAGTCCCAGCCCGGCCACTCCGGGGGAAGCCCCAGACTCCCCATCTGTACAGGGCCGTGGCAATCACATCAGCCTCACACACCCATTGCCAGGATAGCATTTGGACAGCTCATACATGTACAGCCTGTCATGACAGTGCCATAAAGATGTCAGCAATAAACATTATCATGCCTCAGAATCACTCTGTCCCCACCTCCCTCAGCTGCCAATGAGCTGACCCCTTTGCCACCCGACCACACCCCCTTTGTGTTGAGATTTACAAGTATTTCACGCGCCATAGTGTTCGCCATTGTGAAGCCCACAGCTCACCGGTTTTTATCAGTCACAGGGTGGTCAGTGCAGCTTTCGCCGCTTTCCAGTTCTGGAGCATTTTCATCCCTGCAAAGAAACCCCCCGGTTGTTGGCAGGCAGGCACCGCTCACCCCGCCACCCCCACACCGCACCCCTGGGGGCCACTGGTCTACTGGTCTACCTCCTGTCGTGTGTGTGTGTGTGTGTGTGTGTGTGTGTGTGTGTGTGTGTTTGCCGGTTCCGGGTACGCCCTGGAAACGGAACCACACAGCAGGCGGTCTTCCGTGACCGGCTGGGTCGCTGAGCGTGATGCCCCCTCGCGGCTGGAGCGGCGTCAGCAGGGCGCTCTTTCGCCCCCACGTGCTGATCCCTCGTCAGCTGATGGGCATCTGGGTGGTTTTCACTCTTCAGCTTTTATGGCCAAGGCTCCATCCACACTCACGCACCCACGTCTGTGGGAGCGTGTTGTAATCCTCCCGGCTGCACACGCAGGAGCGGAACGGCTGGGCCAGATGCTGACTCGGCGGTTCACGGTTCCCCAGGGTGCCTGCACCCTCTCAAGTCCACGAGCCATGCTCGGGAACCCCAGCCACCCCCCTGCATCCTCACCGCCGGCCCGCGTGGCCGCCCTTGCTGCTGTTGGTCCGACTATCCTGCCCATCCCCGAGTCTCTCCCTCCTGTCCTCCTCCTGTGTGGCCCGCGGTGCCGCCCAGGCTGCTACCTTCAGGGCCCAGGTCCTCAGCATGGAGGTTGTCCCGGGTGCCCTCCGCCCCCAGCCCCATGAGCTTCTTCCGTTTGCCTCAAGTGCCTGCCAAGGCTTCTGAGCCGCCGGGGTGGCCACACAGGCCAACACCCTTTGTGGCCCGGGAACATGCTCATTCCCTGGTCTGTCCCTCAGTGTCCCCACCTGTAAAACAAGGTCTGGGATGAGATTAGGGTCCCACACTCAGGTGCCTGCAGGGGCCAAGCAGGTTAGGTGGCCCAGGTGGGTGACGCACACACCCCTCTAAGGCGGGGGTAAGGTGGGGAGGGCTGGTCAGCCATTATCCCCACGCTGGAAGGTCTTTGTTGGTAGATAACTCACTTTTTTTAAGTTTTTAAAAATAGATTTTATTTACTTATTTTTTTAGATGGGCGTGGTAGGCAGGAGGGAGAAAGAGAGAGAGAGAAACATCAATTGGCTGCCTCTTGTACGCACCCCAACTGGGGACCAAACCTGCAGCCCAGGCATGTGCCCTGACCCGGAATCGAATCTGCGACCTTTCACTTTGCAGGATGTTGCCCAACCCACTGATCCACACTGGGCAGGGCCAGATAACAGCTTTTCTAAAGAAAGCAGGAAACCTGGATGTCCTGTGAACTCTCCTGGTTTTTCGAACATTTCTAATAACTAGAAGCAATTAAAACAAAACGTGCAAAGAAACAACACATCTGTGTGTCTAGTATAGCCCGGTCTGCAGAATTCCAGTTTGCAAACCCGGAACCAAGGATTCGGAGGATGCGGCGGAACACCTGGCGGGTGTCTGATCCTGCAGGTCTGGGGCGGGGCCAGAGAATTTGCATATCTGAGTTCCCAGCTGAGGCTGATGCCCCTGGTCCCAGGACCCCACTTTGAGAACCACGGCCCTGGACTAATGTTCTCCGTGTCCATCCCAGCTCTGAAGTGCAGGTGCGTGGTTCTGGGACCCAAAGCGCAGGCACCCAGGGAGCCCGTCCTGCAGGTGACCTGGACCAGGCCACCCCGTGCGCTCTGGTGACTAGGCCACCTCAGCGGCTCCGAGCAGGTGCCATGCGCCTTCACTGTCCTGAGCTTTGATCGTGGAAACTCACGCTGGTGAATTGCTTTGAAAGCTCTCAGAGCTATTTAAAAATGCACGTGATGTAGAAACACGTAATAGCTTGAGATGTAAAGTATGAGAGTGTTAAGCAAGCTGTGTGGGCTGTGGGGTTTCTGTCACAGTTTCCCAGGGCTTTGGTAACAAATGACCACACAATGGGTGTCCTAAAACGACAGAAGCGCAGGCGCTCTCTCCCAGTTCCGGAGGCCAGCGCCCCCAGCCGGGATGGGAGCACGGTGCACCCCTCCAAAGGCTCCCGGGGAGGGTCTGTTGACTGAGTCGCTGGTTTCCAGGGACTGGTGGCCGTCCTGGTGTCCCTTGGCTCGTAGCAGCATCACTCAGCTCCTGTCTTCACCTGGACGCCTTCTCTGTCTCCCTGTGACCTCTCCCTGCGTCCTCTCTCCATCTCATGAGGACACCAGCCATTGGGTTTAGGGCGCTCATCCTAAACCCAGAGTGATTTCATCACAAGGTCCTCCACCAGTTATATCCTCAAAGACCCTATTTCCGCAGCTCCATTCTGAGGTCACAGGTGGACATGAATTTTTAGGGGCCACTATCCAACTCACTACAGCCTCCTTTCTTCTTCTTCCTCTTCCTCCTTCTTCATGTTATTCTAGTAAGTATGGCAATGTGGATTCTCTGCTCATAGCACATGGGAAAGAGCATGGTGAGTGTGGCCCCAGAGGGCGGTCCCCCCAGCAACCCTGAAGAGGGTGGAGGTCACAGAGCCACCAGCACAGCCCAGTGAGCACTCTCCAAGCCTGGGGTTCTGGGGGCGCTGGTGTGTGAGGGTCCCCAGCCCTTTGCTCCTGGTCCCGCTCTGTGTTGAAAGCTGATGGTCCCTTTCAGTGTCCTCTGTTTTGAAAAGCAGGGAGGGCAACGTGCCTTGCGTTTCGGAGTGACTCTGGTCCAACATTAGGAAAAGGAGGCCTTGAGGGATAACAAATTCAATCCGTAGGAAATCGGCCCGCGAGACACCCACCCCCATCCCCCACCCGGCCCAGAGGAACGAGGGGACTGCGGACAGAGAAGTGGTTAGCCGCCGTGGGTGTTCGATCGAGCACCTGTCTGCCGGAAGCCCAAGTCAGCTGCGAGTCTGTGCATCAGCCTCGTGCTAACTTCACTCCACGGCGTCTCCCAAAGCCCCAGCCCCCGCTGCGGGACGGAAACATTGCAGGCACCAAGGCCCCGTCGGGTCACCGCTGCGCTGCCAGCCATGCAGCCGGGCCTTGCGCGGAGCGGTCTCCAGCATGCCCCGGGGACGCCCCGTGAATTGTTGCCCCTCTCCCGGGGACCCTGGCTCCGCCGAGCGCGCAATGAATTGCGCTCATCCATCTGTGGGCTTTTAAAAAATTCAATAATTAATTCAAGCGTACAGTGGTATTACTGTTATTAGAATTCGGTCTTTCCGTGGTTCTTTACTTCGGCAGAGTGATTTTGGAATCATTTACCAGCTAAATAATTTAAATTATTGCTACGCGCTGGAAACCTGGTGCTCAGCCGGCGCGGGGCGATGTGGGAAAGCGATGAGCGAAGTGCGGGTGGGGGGGGGGAAGAGCCGAATGAATTATGCAAAGGGAGCGGGCAGTCCTTCCCCAGGTCTGGCCAATACCTTGCTTGACCTCCACGTGCCCTTGGT